ATTTTAAAAATGTAATATTTATATATTCAATATGATTATATTTTATATATTAGGTAGTAACAGATGATAAACTAGCATTCCAAAAAAATCCTAAATAAAACTTGCTTATGGATTTAAGCAATGTGCATGCATCCTTGTTCAATGTAAGTTGAATATCTTAGAAATTCAAAACATGATACAATTTTTTTAACCTTTTGAAAATTTTCAGAAGTTAAGCATTCGTTCTTAAATTTTCAATGGCATAATCATTCTTTTAATTTCATGTAATTAGTTAACCATAAATTTTCCTATGTTTCTTTGAATAACTTAAAATTGATAAACGCAACAATTGTTAAAATCATTGAAACAATAATAATGTTGCACTTGAGGGTGATTTTTCTACAAAAAGATGTCAATATAAATTTTAATGGTAAAAGGTAATGTTTCATTATTTTAGTTGAGATCTTGATTACCTTTACATGAGTGATGTAAACAAATTCTAAGGATATATGAAAGTTGGAAAATGGCATGAAGGATGCACTACATTTATTGTGAAAAAGTTATGTATCTTGTGATACAAAAATATGCAAAAAAATTAGCAATCCTCATATATTGCTAAGCATGTGGAGTTGTTGAACATGATTATGTTGTATATATCAGACTAAATTGTTTAGAGTCAAATATTTGTATTGCCATTTTAGGACCTATATTTTATTTTTTCAAGTGAATTTGTCTCTGTTCCTTTGAATTTACACATCCCCCTTAATATGTTTCATGTGAAACATGAACCCATGATCAGTGTGAAAATTGCTTATTAAACCACTAAAAGTAGGAAATGACATACTAAGAAAGAAGATTTAATGAAAATGGACCTTAAGGAATATAATTTGTTTATTGTAGCAAATAAGATAAGATGTTTGTTAATCTGCTAATTACTAATCCTAAAATCAGTCCTTCCTAGATGTATTCTCTCAACGAATAAGTAATTGTTAGAGTGCCATGTTGATATAATTCGAAGAAGCAAAAAGCAAGTCTAAGTCAAAAAAAATATTACGTACTTTTTTTCTTCTAGCATTAAACAAATGGATTTGTGACCATTTATAAGTTTCTTGTTTCAGAGGAGATTTTAGTTTGACATCGAATTCTTTTCTTCAAGAATCAAAATTAGACCATTTTACATGTATTACTTTGTGTGTTTCATAATTATATATATTTTTAAAGTCTATATTTCATCTTGGGATAGATTAAATGTACAATCGCCAATGTTGTATGAAGTTATTTTCCTGCTATGTTAATGACTAATAGTTCCCATGTTTATGCATGTGGAGCCTGATGGTTGATCATATACTGTATTTTGGAACTATTTTAATTTTAGAAAACGATCAATATATAACAATGGCCTGCCACTCTTTTATTGGCAATGGAAGAAGCACCTTTAAGTAAAATTATTTTTTGAAAAACTACAAAAAAACTGTTGACCTGAATATGATTCACTTGTTTCATTATGCTTTGTATTACAATTGAATGGATTATTTATGCTAATATTAACACTTATTTTGATTGAATGAATGCTCATTATCTTAAAGAATCAAATTATTTAAGTTCTAAGTAGGGTTACCAAGGAGTGAGGAGTAATGCATAAGGTCATCAATCTTGCACAATTCAGATGGTTTTGCAGGATATCCTACTTTCGTCGATGGCTTTATTCGTAAACCAAGTTATCAATTCCGCAAATGACGTAAGAGTTTTTTAATAAGTGAAAGGGTAGCTCAAGTTCGTGCAAGGGGAACTTGTTGCTAAAGCTGGTATATTGCATCGGAAAGGTTTGAAACCTATGTCCACTTCAACCGCACAATGCAGGGGTGCCCTTTTTTTAGGATGGAACTTTCGGAAGAGATTTCAAGTCTCCCATAGAGGTATCTGCTTTGCATGAAAGTCGCCCTTTGGAGAGCCTTCTCTCAGGCCTGAGAGCTTTTGGAGAACTCTCAGTTCCAATAGAGTGACACTTTATTCTAGAAAAAGCTACCCCCGGTAGCTGTAACTTCCTGTCAAAGCTTGATCCCCCCCGAAAGGCAGACTTTGCTTATAAAGTTGCCGCAAGCAAGGATCAACACTTTGACGACAAACTAACCCTTCAGCTATATTCGAGGGGTTGGCTCGAATATACAATCCAAAATCTCAGAAAACTGTCTCCGTGTGTGTGTTTAGGGGGGGGGGAGGAGAGAGAGAGAGAGAGAGAGAGATGAGGGCAGGCACCTCAAGCAAGAGAGGAGATCAGAGCGGCACAGCGTTTGTGTGAGGTTTGAGACACTCAGGAAGGAGGAAGAGTGAGAGAAATGAGAACGAATGGCTAGAGTGTCCTGAGGTTGGGGCTAGGTGTACGAGTATCTAGTATTTTACAACCCTGGCAAAATCAGTTTCAACTGAACGCATGTAACATAGCATAACAGGAGTCGAATAGTTTCAAGGGAGTTATTGATGAAATTTGAGTTTTGAGGGAGATGTACAGACAAACGAACTATTTTACTTGGAATCTAAAACCAAAATACACTGGGTATGATTCAAAGGATGGATCCGGTCCTACGCCCAAATTACAGTTACACTGGGGTCTAGTCGCGAGTCCATCCATCTTCAAGACTTCTTGCCACTTGTTCAAATACCCTAAATTTAGCTGGGCCCAGTCCGGCCTTCATCGGTCCCGGTAAGGCTTGGCCCATCGCAAACTCTTTTCTTCTCTATCCAAGAAACAGATGTATCTATATACACACACACACACAGAGGCAGAGATATAAATCTATCTTACACGGTATATCATTCACGGCACGGGAATAAAAAGATGACATGAACACGACCAAAGGGGCTTGGAGAATGTAATACACTGTTGAAACCAACATAGGTCAGTATAGGGAGGAGTCGCTGAAGAAATAGCAATAAGTTGTGCTTTATTGACGCCAACTATGCGGTACTGTATGGCCAATTAATTCCATATTCTCCGTATCTAGAAATTCAAGTTGCAAATGCCATTGCCTCCTTATTGGATTTAGACTGGTCCAGTGCAGCGAGGAGATCTGTATCTGTAGCTATGTCTATATCTATATCTATATCTATGTATATATATATACAGAGAGAGAGAGAGAGACCCCGGGGGGGGGGGGTGGAGGGGAGGGAAAGAGAGAGAGAGGAGAAGACATCTTGCAAATCTGTCCTGCCTCCACTGTTTCAGGTTCAAGGAGGCTTGTGATATGTTCCAACTCCAGAAGGAATCTTCTCATTGAATAAACACGTCGAAAGAGGGCTCCATCGGGCTTTTGGCTTCTTCGCAGACACCAAGATCACGGCCCTGCCTATAGTTTCACTACGAAAATATGAATCAGCAGCGAAAAAATTATAACATTTGCATGAGATTAAGATTAGACTTAGGGTACCAAATCAGTGAACATCTTTGTACTTCCCTTATCTTTTTCATCTTTTTTGTATTTTTCTTCAGCTTCCATTCTACATTTGTCAACGGGTAATCATAGTTAAGTGCATACATCCAAGATGGCTTGTAAACTTTAAAGAGAGAACTAACGGGTTTAAGATTATGTAAATTTAAGGAGCTGGGTCTGGAAAAACTGTAGTATTTGCGAAAACAACTGTTCTCACGTACTCAGCTATGACCGTCGGAGGGGATTCACATGAGACTCACCGTGTCGGCGATGCATTCATGAGACTTGCTTGGGCGCATTTATTCTTCTTCTTCGGTGATCTCGGATGGATCTCTGCACGTTTCGTCTGCGGAGAAACTGTTTTAACATGAAGCTCGTGGGGGGTCTTTCTGTCTCTCTGCTTTTACAGCTCAGGGGGGGGCTGGTGTATGCATGTAGTTGTCTGCAGAAGCCACCATGGCCAAGTTAAGACAGAGAGAGAGAGAGAGAGAGGCGAGACAAATGGACGAAGGAGCTGGATTCTTTGATCTCTCCATTGCTTTTACAGATCGATGAAGAGGTTGGGATGCTGCGGATGCATGCAGTGGCGTGTAGAAGCCGCCGAGACCGTGTTTTCAGGTTAGAGAGATGGGCAGAGGGAATCGAGAGCGAGAAGCAAAGCCCGGCCCGATACCTCAAAATCAAAGCGTCAAAACACCGCACATGAGGTGCATTTAAGACCCTCCACCTTCTCCTGCACCTTTCCAAGAGAGATGAAGGTTAGTGCACCCGAGTTTCTTCTTCCTTGGTCACAAGCATTAAATCAGTCGAGTGGGTTGAAAGCTGCGTTGTTTTAGATGACGTGAGTCTTCCTTGGAATATGCTGCGATGGATCCATCGGATCAGTGTACCTTCGACTTCCATCCCCCCCGTTCTCTCCTCTCTCTGTCACACCACGCTTCCCGAATGAAAATGGTTGATCTGCCTAACTCTTCACGTAACCTTTGCTAATAAGGAAGTGACTGATTGGAATCCGTTATTAAAATATCTCCGCATTTCACCGACTCCCAAATTAATCTTTTCACACCATACCGCCGAATACTAGAAAACAAAACAAACCAATGACCTACCTAATTAAGCTTCCAGCACGTGTCTCCATTGTAGATTCACACGCTCAAAGAAGACGGAACAAGAAAAAGGGACTACACGTGGACTGTCCCTAATGTTTTAGTTACTCCACCTACATCTAACTAGATGGCAATTATGGATCTAATAGCTACGATAGCTTCAGAGTTTGATTTAAGACCATGGAAGAATCACACCCGTTATAGTTTTCTTCCCCACTCAGCGGATACTATCATATGTGACGAAGTGTCAAAGCCCTAAGTTCTGAAATAACATCATTTGAGAAAATACGTGAGACTTTGTACCTCGAGATAAGTAGAAAATGGAGACTTCATACTAATTTAATTCAAGCTCGTCGTATTATTCTGTGTCATTGAAGGATTATTCCACCGTGGTTTGAACCATACTCAACTAGTACTCATTGGCCTGCTGTACTTTAGGATTATTCTTGTACAATTTCTACCATCACCCTCTCTTTCACTCCCTATCTCAAAGGAACTCGGCAAGACCCTCACTGAAGAGCCAGTTCTCCAGAAATGAAAGCGGCACCGGCTTTTGCTCCTCGGGGATGAGGCTTGCCTCTGGAGAAATCAGCGACTCAATTGTATTGATCTCGACGCCGATGTTGCTAGAGGCTGAGTCAACCCCGCCACCGGCGGTGCTGTTGGAGTGCTCAGTCGACTCGGAATAGGACTGTTTTGGTGTGTTACTCATCCATCCCTGCAGCAATCGAGAGATGTTCTCGGCACTGGAGGCATAGGTGGCCGTAGACAGTGTTGGGGGTTGTGTCACCGCCGCGTCGTCGGAGGACAATGGCCGTTTGAGCTCCAGCTCTGGGCAAGGTATCTCCAAGGAAAGAGCCTCGGAGAGAGCCCGCTTCGCCATGTGGATGTCAGTCTGGAGCCTCCTCTCCCACTGGCCCTTCGCGATTGGGAGCGACCATGAGACTTCGCCGGCGCCGGACTGCGCCTTCCTCAGTTTTTTTTTTAGGTGGGTGTTCCAGTAGTTCTTGATGTCGTTGTCTGTCCTCTCCGGTAGGTACGACGCAATGGCCGCCCACCTACATCACCACCCGGTAAATATTGTCAAAGAGTTAGGGGGATTCAAATCAAAATCAGTTGACAACGAATCAAATACAGTAATAAAGTTTATTCAAACAAAATATAACATAACCACTAAATTTTGATGGAATGCGAATTCATTCAGAGAAATGTAGATTCATTACCTGTTGCCCAGAAGAGCCTGGAGGTGGACGATCAGTTTCTCCTCTTGCTCGGTGAAGTTGCCTCGCTTGACACCCGGCCTGAGGTAATTAGTCCATCGGAGTCTGCAGCTCTTGCTGCACCTTTGTAGCCCTGGAAATCAAAGGGACAGACAAGAAGCAATGCAAATAAAAATTTAAAGAACATGGCCTGATGTTTATGATCTAGCAATTCAAATAGCCCACGAAGAGGATGAAATTGTAAATTATAGCCTTCGTGCAAGACAGCTCCTCACCGCAACAGGCTTGTTTGAATTAGGAAACTAACATCGTGCCAAGGCGGATATGAGATATAATTTTGAAATACTTCAATTACTCACCTGTCTTCGAAGGAACTGCCCTCCAGTTGCCGGGGCCATTTTCCTTGATGTATGTGACCAGGACGATGTCCTCCTCCGGGGTCCATGGTCCCTTCTTTACGCCCGTCTTGTCGCAGCAAGGTGGACGACCCATGTCTGCCTTCTTTCTCCCGCTTTGGGTGTTTGGGAGAGGAGAGAACCCCAGGCAGAGAGAACGAGAGAAAATTTGTGGGTGGTATTGTTGTTGTTGCCTGGAGGACGAAAAGGCTTGCTGTTCTCCTTCCACTGCGCTTTGTTTCTGTCAACAAAATGTGCATCTCTCTCTCTCTGTCTCTTTCTTTCTATTTATATACATAAATATACACACAAAGATCGAGGAGAGACCTTTCTCTATTTCAGGACGCACCGACCGGTGTACCAAAGAGAGAGAAATGCAAATAGATCGACAGCAAGGGTCGTTCCCTTGTAGGGGAAGTATACCAGTCCAATGAGATGGGAAAGTTCTTAGGGGAGAAGCCATCTCTCTCTCTCTCTCTCTCTCTCCGTTTCTCAACTGTGTGCATTTAATGCGGTTGCATCCGACGTGTTATTGTCCTTCCTCGCTCGCACTTTTCCGGTGTCTTCCCCTTTCTCAAACGTCAGTTCATCGTTATACCAAAAACATGGGTTAACCGGATAAACATCTACGATCTAAATCTCTTTGTCCATTTCTCTCTCTCTAAGATACAGCCAATATAGAAACCCATGGTTTCTACTTCTGTGGAAGCAAAATCTGACATGAATATTTAAAGTAACAAGGGTATCTAATGATCCACTCAACATCCTTGGAAAAATCTGATGGACAAGATGGTACCGATGGGATGGTCCGATCTGTTGCAGGTGTACGATGGTGTTCCGGAGAGAGACGGTTGAGATGGAATTTATCAGATCGAGTTCTGTGCAACAGACTCCCATCTGAATAGGTCTCTAACTACCCATTGAAACATTAAACTTTTGATTGGTATAGTTACAACCATGCACTGTATCCATTGATCCTATCTATTTACCGGTGACTAGATGGAGACAATGAATTAGATGTATATATGGATAGCGAGCGGGAGAGAGAGAGAGAGAGAGAGAGAGAGAGGGATTTGAAGCCAATTTCTTTATTACCACATAATTAATAGGTTCCCATTGGAGTGACCTCTTTCACCGGCAACTTTAGTGCTTTTGTAATCGTCACTCGCTGGCATGGCCGAGGTGACTAATAAACGAAGGTGGGACCATCATCTGTGTGGTCTCAGAATTGGTACATAGTTGGATGGAGTATGTATTGTGATATCGTATCATTAATACTTAGGAAATAAAAGCTCAACTACTATATTGAAAAATTCTTGGTAAGTAGGTCAGTGGTCATATTCTCAAACAGGAGAAACATTTGACTACCCCTTGATCTTGGAACATATTAATACATAGTAAGTATAAAGTTTGAAATATGAAACTGACTACTAAAATGTATATCAATCGAGTGAGAATAATTCTTTGACAAACACAATGATGATAAATTTTCCAAGTGTTTGGTCTTCGAAAAACCTTTAAATGGTGAATAAATCCTTCTTGTTTCTCTTAATCCAATGACCAATATTATAATCATCGAATTCTCATTTCAACTCTCTTGTTATGCTATCATATGAAATTAGGAACGAAACTATTTACATCACTCCATTATCCTCTATTCCTACACAATAATAATAACTTATGACGATTTTTATGGCCTTGGAGTTTGAAATGTTGGAAGCAACATGTATTTCTCTGAGCCTACATCCATATTTCTTTTTTAATGATAGTGTGAGAATTTTACATGCATTAACAATACTTGGTAAAATGCTAGAGATACATGAGTTGGGAGGTTTCATAGAGGTACCATATACCTGAGAAAAGTCCGAGTTATCATTCAAGAGTTTTGTCTAGGACCAAAAATTCAAAATATTAAGCTATAATTAATCAAAAATTTAAATTTTGCTACATAGTAGCTATGTTAAACTGAGGGTATTAAACTCATGCAGTAATTGAGCATTGGCATAAATTTCATACTTTAGAATTGTGATGCCAAATTATTTTAAGAAAAATTAACCATAATGAAAGTAGTGATCAATCTACTATAATGATCAAATAGATGTTCACATTGATAGTGATCAATCTACTATAACGAAAGAAGGGAATAAACCATGAAGAAATAACATACCATCTATTTTTAAATTAAATATTGATGCAAAATTTCAAATTCAATTAAGTTGGTGTTTCACAATTTGTTTATGGGGGGGACAATTAATTGTAAGCTTCTTCAATTTCTCAATTTCTCATAGGCACTTAGGGCCTCGTAGTTAAATCTTGCAATTTAACTAGTAGCACTCATTTTAAAGAAGTATATGATTTGAAATGAGATTTGAATTTGTTAACACAAGGACAATTTCACTAGGCTAACTTTTTGTTAAGAATAATACTTTCGTTCTTACTTGATTCGTGTCACGAGAGAGAGGTGGCATCCTTTCTGTGATGCCCTTAGTTGGAGTTCTGGAGAGTGAGAAAGCGAGAGAGGCTGACGTGCGAGGAGGGCCGCCCAACCGGTACGGAGGTGGCTGCCGGAGTCCACGTTTGAGTCTCACGCGAGAGGGACGAACTTGAGACATGACCCCTTTGTCGCCGGTGAGAGTGTTCCCATCTACTTACGTGAGTCCCTGTCTTTAGACCACTGTCCGTAATTAAACCTCCCCGTTCTCCGAGCATCCCCTCTCCCGTTGAACTTTAACCTGTCCTCTTCCGATGAGTTAGTAGGTGTCGACTCTCTCTCATCTACACTTCTCTGACTCAACGACCATCTACTCCTCTACTCTCAAGCTGATGATAAATAATGTGAGACCGATCTGCGTCGGCAACGAGGAGACACGGCTATTAATGGAGTCGTGTTGGCTCCATCGAACGGATGGGAATAAGGGCCAACGAGCCTAACAATGTCACACTCTTTCTATCACCATTCGCCTTTGTCCTTTTTCCTCTTTCGTGACTAAGATGACCGCATACTCCTCTTCGCTGGCGGATGCCGGCTGGCCACGTCCTGCACGGATGCCTGAAAGCATCGGAACTATAAGGCAGGCCTGTGGGGACGAACGAGAAACAGGATTCGACTTCAAGGCGAATCTCAAGAGATAAATACAAAATAAAATCGGAGATAAACCGCGGCCGAAACAAGTAGAAGTCCCACTCTTATAAAGAACTAAATTTCTTATAAGCTAAATAGAGCACAATTTTTTGTTATGTTTCTCAGTAAGCCATTAAGAATCTACCCTTGGAATTAATATTTTTGTTGTTATTTATTTCAAAAAGAGGACTATGGTTATATAACATATTTGATATCAATTGACTTTTGAGCCGGTAAAATTTTGATGTTGAAAAAGTACTCACAAGGATAAAGAGGTCATTTCATGCAATTACAATATTTGAGACCTTTAATATTGATATTTTTTTTATAATCCTTAACAAATCCTAAGAGCAATTTTGGACTAAGTGCATACAATTTTTTATTTTCACCTTTCATGTGAACTATCTGACCCATGGAATTGTCTCACCAATGTGAAAAGTAGGACAAATAAATAACATCTATGCTAAAATGAAAAATACATGTTGAGAAGTGAATCTAGTATAGATATAAACTGATCTCTTGATGTTGAACATTCATGTTTTGAGAGAGTAATAAGACTTAGGGAATATTGCTTAGAACGGTGGATAAGCCACTGAAAACTTTTAATGTTCCATCACTATCAAGAAAAAATATTATAAAAGTATCTATGTTAAAGAGTTGACTCATTCTACACACAATGTCCTACATCAACTCATATTGTATCTTGACATGCATGAAAGGATCAATTCAACCACCACATCTTTTTATTGTTATTATGGTGCACTTAGAATTGACAACATTGAAAATTATTTTTCTTAATAAATGTCATGAAATAAAATTATTCTATTCGTAAAATATACAGAATAAAATAAAAGTAATGATTCCACCAGATAATTGATCATCTTGAGGGAGAATCGATGTCTCATTTCATTATAGTGCACCTTTATCATCATTAATCTCATAAAGTGTAAGGGCTATTTGGTATAAATTCCCCATGAAGCAAGAAGAGAATTATTTATTTTTGATTGAAATATTTGAAGCAGATTATAAAACTCAGTTGATATTAGAATCAATTTAAAAGTGCTATAACGCATGTGGATGTTGAATGTTAATTAACAAATATAAGTTTTGGTGACTTTAGAACCCATTGGGTATTGTAGATTGGAGTATAAAAAAGGTGCGCATGATGAAAATAGTTAAGGATAATGAAGATAAAATAATCAAGAGAAAGAAATACAGCTGAGGACCAAACATTGGTTTTGAAAATCGGCCTTGAGATGTTCTTTACATTGGTCTCTTTGATGAGTTGGAAATGTCTACCCTTTATCCTCTTAGAGGTGTTACTATGGAGGTTTTAAGGGCTTGGGATGCATAGTTCAAAGATATTATGGGGAGCATTTTTCATTTCATCAATGGAAAGTGTCGAGTAACAATTTTATTGAATTATTGGCATGTATAAAACTTGTTGACAACTTCGAACATAGATTGCTCTCGTGGAACTTGATTTTTGACTAATCAAAGTTTAACTCGAGATAAAATCTTCATCTATAGTTCACATATGATTTTTGAATTCTGAATTTTATGCATGGTCCAAAATAAAATAGGATTTTTTTATATTGCAAGACATTTGGGTTCTACAGGAAACAAAAGTGTAAATTTGTCCTATCATGAAAAGAATTTTCTCATGATTTAGATATCTAAATTGAACAAAATTTTAAATCAAGCCATTTTCAAGTTAATTACTCTAAAAGTTACTTGAGTTAGCAATTACAAAAAAACCATGCTTTGACAAACCTATTGTTTTCATTAAGGGTCCAAATACTTCATAGAGTTGGATGTTATTTTACAAGGAGGTATTTTATGTGTAAGATTAAGTCTAATGGGTTCACAAATCAAAATATAATGTTTTCAGCTTGTCTTAATGATGAAATTTTAAAGTTTTTACAATTATTGAGGGATAGCAATAGACATCTTGCACATATATTTCTTTCAAAAAGGTAAAATCATATTTTTCATATGTTAAATTGATCTTCTAGGCTAGCTATTAGGAATTCAACACATGCAAACTGCACCCATGCAATAGAGTAGTTTTGTTCCATACCTATGTCCACTGTTTGAAGTGTTGTCCACACTTATCACCATTATATTATCAAAAACTTATATCCACTATAATTCATAGTTTTACTCATCATCTCTTATTTCATGTAAATACGAGAGTAATATAAAAGATTGTAGTTACCAAGAAGCCTATTTTTTTGGACTAAGTTTAGTAAAGAAAAATACTCTAAAATTATTCAATATTTAAAAATTTTAGACCCTAAAATACTCAATAAATATATTGACTAAAAGTTTCATAAGGAATATGAGGCAATAGTTATTTTAGCATAGATGAGCTTTCTTAGAGCCATAATGTTATATAATGGCATATAATAAAAAGGAAGATAACTTTAGCAATAATATTATTGAAAAAATAATTTTAAATATCTGGGAACTGATTCTTCAAGTTAATTTATTTATGTTCATACCAATAGGAGGCTACGTTAAAAGGCATGATTGTCTTTAAAAGTTTTAGAATGCTTAGTACAATAAAAATACAATTTATTTTAAATATGATCTGTCAACACAAAATATGAGCATTGAATCAAATAGTATTAGAGATTCTATGTCTATTATTTTTTATTGGTTTATATGAGCTTGATATGCTTGACTTTAATGACAACTAATTATACTACAACATGGAATTATGGAATCAAACATTCAGTTTTTAGAAAAATAAAAAATCTCTTTCAACCAATAATATAGTTTTATGCATCATACATCCCCTATTTGTGCATTGGAAAGATGCACACAAAAGAGATAGATAGTGTGAAGGAAATAAATGCACATCAAATTTATGTGGTTTGGAGAATCCTCATAAATTCATGGCCAAATAACCCTTCTTTTTCTTTCTTGAAGAGAAATGATCTCACCTTAGAAGAGGGGGACTCACTTTGAAGACTGATTGAGGCTATACATAACCTCAATTTCTATATGATAACTGCCTTTCTTAACATTTTTGTTTACTTTTTCAATTCAATAATCTTTTCAAGTGTCAATTCTTCATCATCCAACAAGTTGAGAATAAAATGGCACCTTGGTTGGATGTGTTTTAGTGAAAGTGAATCTCAATATATTTGCTAGATGAATGACACTTCGATTGTTGTAGAAGGACATATTGTTTTCATGCATCCCCTCGAGTTTAGCAAGAAAATTCATCAGTCATAACATTTCATTAAGAACCTTTATAATGACAAGATACTCTCTTGATGGTAAAAGAGTAACACCTTTCTACCATTGTGAAAGACAACTCATAGTAGTGTGTCCAAAGAGGTAGATGTTTCTCCTCATGTTGACAGCAACACTAAAATTTGAATATAAAAAATATTTTAATTTTAAATTTTGTCAAAATATTTATTGTATAACAACTCAATGTTGTTTTATTAGATTCACCATGAATTTACTCTAATCCCACTATATATATATATCTATAGTTTGTTGCAAATCATAACATACATAAAGCTAACCACAATGGAGGCAAAAGAATTCTCACTAAAACCATCAAACAATTATTATTTCTTGTGGCATATGTTGACATCAGATTTTCTTATTTTGAAACCATCAAATTTCTTGTGGCACATTTTCTTGATACTTGTTTGAACTCATAAAGTTTTTTCTTCAACTTTCACATGATTATTATTTGTTTGGGTATAGCCCATAGAAAAAAATAAATGTCAATTTTCTTCTCAGCCACATTTTTCAAACAACCTTGTGACAAAAATAGAGGATTGGAGAATGAATAGTGTGTTTCCAAATGTTAGATTAGACCATATTTTACTTGAGCCACTATGGATGACCTTCTTAGGAAAAACCAACATGTCATGTTTCTCAATGCATTATTGATCTCCCCACACCCTTACACAAATGATTGTCAGAAGGACTAGAAAGGAAGAAAATAACCAAGTGCTTATGCAATGAGATGACTCTCCCTAGATTGGCACATCATGCCATTGATATCCCTAGGATCTTTCGAAATTCCATGTAACAGATTGGAAACATGGATTTTAGGTTTAACATGAGTGCGTTAGAGGCCAAGGGGAATGAATGGTTTTAGGGGTCTTGAAAAATCCATTCAACATCAACCAATGTGCACCACATAAGGTGGAGGTAGAAGTTAATAATCAAGTCATTTCCTCCACACCCCATTAAGGGTTCTCCTTTTAGGTTCAGCTGCAAGTGGGAAAGAAATTGGTTGGACATTACATTCTTAGCCTATGATATCATGTGGCTTATAGGAAAATGAGAAAGGTGGATCATGTGCTTTTCTAGATGTAGTGACCAACTAGAAGCTTCCTATGTTTACATTGTTAATTTTTTCCAAGCTCAAGCTGTAGATCATGAATTGTAGTCAAGTGAATTGGACAGTATTTACAGAATGAGTGGTGGGCTTTAATTAATTTAGAGTAAAATATGTATAACTCCATCAACATATATATCTATATATATATGTTTTGATTAGTTCACAAGATTGAATGGCAAAGTCATTGAAAAGCCTTGCTTCGATTGTTTTCAAAGAATGTTGAGTGGTTCGTCCTCAAACTCAACAAATGATCAAGCTCAACTTGTAAGGTAACTTAGAACAAGAAGTTGCTTTTTTGGCACTACTTTAAAGGTGGGATTAGCACTTTGGCATCGGGCTCTTCGGCAAAGGGTTTCTAATTAATAATTAAAAATAATATCTATAGTTTTTAGCACTATACATAATAAGTTTTGGTAAATTATAATTTCTTTGCCATTAAATTGGTAATTAATGTGTTACTTCAAGGTCCATTCATCTTCATTTAAACTATCTTCATAGCTAGTGCTGGACTATGTGTCAAGCTTCATTTTCTTCTGGTACACTCAATCATGCTTTGGAGATGGCTCAACCATGAAAGTCCAAGTAAGACATAGACATAAGCTTAAAAGTTTTACAATTCGTGAAAGAATGTTACTTTGACATCAAATACTAAAACTTGCCACTCCATGCATTACATGCCATTATTGATAATGTTTGGTATGAGTAGATTTGTAAAGTGAGTTGAAGTAGAACAGATTATAATGAGTATTTTTCAAAAATCCCAAAGAATTTAATTTCATATATGTTTAGATTACCTTGGGATAAGACTGAAAAAAGGGCATATGTGTAACTGTATTTTTTGTTTTATTTCCAATCGAATGACTGTTCTAGCACACCTACTACCTTAAAGCTTGTCATTGGCCACTTCTCACTTGAATTATACTGGATTCTGAAAATGCCAAAATTAAGGATAATTAAAAGCTACTATTTTATTGGTTAAACTTGTTTGCTCTTACCTAAATGACGCTGTTTTATTCGTTAGACTTGTTTAGTTTTTCAAACAAAAGTTACACAAAATATTTTTTCGAGAACTCTTCTCATCTTTGAATACTTGTGATTGAGGAGGAACCTCCTGTCAATCTCTCATGGAGGACGTGAGGGAACGAGGGGTCGCCCCTCTCCCGACGAAGCGGGTCCTCTTAGCGTCTCTTTGAAGCGTGGCCATTCCCTCTTATCTACAATAGTGACCAAAGTTGGAACCTGTAGGCTACTGCCATCTCTCTCTGCGCATCTGTCTTTCCGTCTCTCTTTCTCACTTGCTTGCTTAGACTTCAAAGAGAGAACAGTGAAGGGAAGATCAGACTCTGAACGATGAATGAAACATAAGACTTGTGCCTTCCACGTGGGTTGCCTGAAACTTTACCACTTCTAAAGTTGTTCTCAACAAATCATATCCGAAAATAATTAGAACCTTTGAGCATTTTTACATAGCGAAGATTCAAAAGCGGGGTAACTTCCTAAATAGATGAATTGAATTGAATTTTGATTGTTCATGATTTATATATTCCTATCTTTTCGTACTTTATACAGCCAAATTATTACCCTTTTCGCACAAGCTCGATAAGTCATGGGGTGCAGTCCTTTTCGTCCTTCCCTCCTGAGCAACCTTCAACACAGAAGTTTGGCGTGAGGACGAGGACCTTTCCGAGCACCCTACCCGTTTTCCGCCGTCCAGCCCAGAAACCCTTATTCTCTGGGAAACATTGAAAAAGAAAAGCCGAAAAGACGAAGGGTCACCATAAATCACTGCCATTACAGTATCTTAAACGTCTCTCACTCGCTCCCTCTCTCTTATCCGTCTGTCTCCAGTTATCTTTCCTCCAAAGAGGAGCGGTTTCGTTTGCGTTGCTGTGTGATTTATCTCTATTTCGTTGGCCATTATTTCATGGCACGGGGAACAGGAAGGGCCCGTGATTTGGACCCTTCCCTGCACTGCCACATTAACCCGTAGAATCTGGCCATTTATACATGGCCACGAGAGATAAGCATCTCTCACTCTAGATGTCCCCTTTTTTGCTCCTTGTTCTTCCTGTGTTTCAAGAGAGAGCGAAAAGAGACCATGAAGAACTCCCACCTGCCGTTGATGCTCCTGTGGTGGGCGTTCATTCTGATCCTCTCCATGGATCTCTCCGGCGCCCAGGCCTGCCATTTCTTCTATTTCGTTCAGCAGGTAAGCAGATATATACGCGTCATGCCGTTGATTAGGACGTTGATTCGTGGGTATAATTAGTTTGTCTGATGAGTCCAATGAGATGTGTTGGTTATAGTGGCCGGGGTCGGTCTGTGACACGAGGCAGAGCTGCTGCTACCCGACTCCCGGGAAGCCATCGGCGAACTTCGGCGTCCACGGGCTATGGCCTAACTACAACGATGGCGTCTACCCCTCCAACTGCGATCCCCACAGCCCTTTAGACCTCTCCAAGGTGCCCATCTCCCTCTCTCTCTCTCTCTCTCTCTCTCTCCTCCTCTCTCTCTCTCTCTCTCTCTCTCTCTCTCTCTCTCTCTCTCTCTCGCTCGCTCGCTATGTATATTTTTATATATATATCTCTTCATATATCTATGTATATTTGTGAGCCCTTGTCCTGAATCCAGTCCTACCCATCTAGGGACCACCTTCTTGACCCTTCTTCTGTTGACTCCGTCCGGCAGATCAGCGACCTGCTGGGGCGGATGCAGTCGGAGTGGCCGATGCTAGCATGCCCAAGCAGCAGCGGCCGCCAGTTCTGGCAGCACGAGTGGGAGAAGCACGGCACCTGCTCCGAATCCGTTCTCGACCAGCGCCGCTACTTCCTCACGGCCCTCGATCTCAAGCGGGAGGTCAACCTCCTCGGAACCCTCCAAGCCGCCGGTGAGCACATTCTCGAACGCTCATGGTGGTGGCGACGTTTCTCCCTCCTCTTGCTCTTCTTCAGGTACCTTATTCATAGCTGTTAAACTGTTCACAGTTCTTCAGATTCAGTCTCCACGACTCTTAATAAACTACTGAAATCACGTGCATTTTCTGATCGATGAGACAACCTGAAAAATAATATTTGAATAGAAAGTTAGTACCCATAAGAATGTCATTACTATATTCATATCCAATTTCTCGAGTCAAATTCAAGACTTTTTACTACCATACCCTAACGTTGTAGTTAGGATAATTCCATATTTATTAGCACGAAAATAATCCATTATAATAGATCTTCCATACAAGACACTAACCCAAAGAGGTGGCAGGCATTCAGCCGGACGGCGGGTTCTACAGATTCAGCAGCATCAGTAACGCCATCAAGGCGGCAACCGGCCACACGTCGGGGATCCAATGCAACATCGGCGAAGACAAGAACAGCCAGCTGTATCAGGTCTACCTCTGCCTCGATAGCTCTGCCAATAGCTTCATCGACTGTCCCATTCTCCCCCGGAGCAGCTGCAACTCCGACAGGGTAGCTTTCCTGGCTTTCTGAAGAAGATGATAAACTCATCTCTTAAGCAAGGTCCGAAAATATGCACCAAATGAGCAGACGGAATTTAACTTATTAGCGCTAGTAAAACTTCAATGATCCAAGGTAATTACTTAGACAAGAAGGGTAAACTTAATCCGGGCGACACTAATTATTCAGCCTAAATTATTCAAGTTAGTTATTAGACAAGCAAGGAGACTTGAAGCCCTAGAACTAAAAAAGACGGCCCCGCTTCGGACATGAACGACAAATAGTCGTGCTTTGCCCAGATTACCTCAATTCTTAATCTTGCGGGCCGTACCCCGTGTGGGATCCCACCTCTTCCTTTCCCTCTGTATTCTCTGTCTCTGTCTCTGTCTCTCCCTCTCTCCCTCTCTCTCTCCCTTTCTCTCTCTCTCTCTCTCTCTCTCTCTCTCTCTCTCTCTCTTTCTCTCTCTCTCTCTCTCTCTCTCTTTCTCGCTCTTAATATCAAATGGTTCAAATGGTTCAACATTCATTGGACCCAAGATCCTCAGTTAACCCGCGCGGAAGTTCGTTGTTTAGTTACTAAACGTTGGTGGGCAAGAAAATATAGTGCAACGTGTCTGGGTTCCTAAATTCTCCCTCCGTTGCCAATGTGAAATGGGTTCGTCAAAAAGTCGGAGCATATGATTCTCATTGAAACTTGCGGCAGAGAGAGAGAGAGAGGTTTAATAGCGACCCCTCACCCTGCTCTTCGCCATCTCTAACCCTACGCCCCCGGACTCACCGAAAGGGTGGATTTGGATTGAGAGAACAGCCATGGAGGTCGTCTCGTTTTCCGCCGTCGGACTCATCGAAATTGTCGATCTGGACTGAGAGAACAGTCATGGTGATCATCTGGATATTTGCCGCCGGCGCCGGTGCCCTCTTCTTCCTAATCATCTTCATCACCAGGTGGCCCTCCGGGTAATCGAATTCCGTCCACCCCCTCTACTCCTTTCTTCTACAAGTCCCCCTATCTATCTAAGTTATCTCGAAATTCTCACTCTCAGGATCAAGAAGGACGCGAGGAAGAGTTCTAATGGCGACGATGAGATGGCCCCTTCGACGGCGGCCATCTCCCGCTACAGAAGTTCGTCGTTGAGGGATTTAATTGGGTTCGAGGCGCCGCCTCTACCCATGACCGTAGAGAATTCAGAGGATCTGAACGTGCATCTGATCAAGCGACTCGCGTCGGTGAAGTACACCCCGCGCGCTGCCAGCTCCTTCGTCGGAGACTCCGCTCACGGCGGAAGAACGTCAGAGGAATTGGATGAAGAGCTACAGATGAGGTTCCTGGTGTTGAAAGTTTCTCCAGGAGGCAGAGAATCAGGCAGGAGAGATTCTCAGGACGATGATGAGGAGTTGGAAAGGGAGCTGATTACCAGGTTCTTCTTCCTGAAAAACTGCGACACCGCCATCGACGACGGCGGAATCGTCAAACCAGTGGCAGTAGAAAAGGAAGAGGTCTGTTGTAAGTCTGAAAAGGGGGATCAACGCGAAGTAAACTCGTCGAACGAGGCTGATGCGCCTGCCGGCGATCAATTCCCACCGGAGAACGACGCCGGCGGTGTCGATTCGGATCGCCCCGACTGTGACAGTATCGGCGACGGGGTCTTAGCCGAGAGAGATTTCGAGCTTCAAATCGACGACAGTGACAGCCTCTTCGATTCCGAAGAACTAGAGGAATATCTAGAAAGGCAGTTTCCCGATTCAGAAGAAATTATTCGAAATCCAACCATAAAGTCGGCCATGGCTGAACAGAAACAGATATGGGAGGAAGAAGAGGCGAGGGATTCGGAGGATCTCGAGCTTCAAATCGACGACAGTGACAGCCTCTTCGATTCCGAAGAACTAGAGGAATATCTAGAAAGGCAGTTTCCCGATTCAGAAGAAATTATTCGAAATCCAACCATAAAGTCGGCCATGGCTGAACAGAAACAGATATGGGAGGAAGAAGAGGCGAGGGATTCGGAGGATCTGAGCGTGGTGGCGTCCGAAGAATTGGGGTCCCTGTGGGATCACCCAGAGCTGGCAGACGGGCTGAAGAAGGTGGATGCGATGTGGTCGCGCCCCATCTTGGAAGATCGATTGAAGACCCCCTTAGAGACGAGGAGCTTGATCCGTAGGAGCTCAACGACGGGATCCTGGAGGAGAGTTCCATGGAGGAGTCGCAGCGGCTTTACGACAAATACAGAGAGGGGATGAGGAAATTTGCCGTCCTCAATAACCAGAAGAAGTCCACCCTTGTTGGGTCAAGCGACTCTCTCTCTTTCTCTCTCTCTCTCTCTCTCGTTTACATATATACATATATAGAGATATCTGGGGACATAAATACATAAATATCCATCAATGTACCGCTCCCCTTTCTCTCCTCATGATCTTCCAGTATCTCTTTTACGTCTCTCCGTGTTCTTCTCATCTCCGCATGAAAATAATAACTTCTCAAGGATTCAGCAGTCGAAGGAGCCCCTCCATTTGCGAGGAAACCAGAAGCCACTCATGGTGACGATGAGAACACTCCTCTCCCCGAGGTCCTGGCGGCGCTTCCAGGAATACGGCCGTGGGGACGCATCGGAGCTCCAGGAGCGACCTGGAGACGATCCTCACGGGAAACGCCGACGGTCGGAGAAGATCCAGGAATCGCGGGCGCACTAATCCGCTGAAACACACCACATGGATTCGGAAAGTAAACGTTGACCAAGCGAAAGACGCAGAATTTCTTGCATTTTCTTATTACGAATCGCGCACCCAGAGGGAATCGCGGTGTAGACGCCTCGTCCAGGGCTTGTTACGGCAGCGACAGTTGCCCTTTGACTTTCTGAAGTTTTCACCAAAGTAACGGAGTAGACCGTAGAGATCCCATGTTATAAAGACGAAGCAACGCGTCGTCGTATTCACAGCTGCAAGGGATACAAAGCCTAATCTTGCCGGCTGTGATAGTCGGGAAGGTGCTTGTCACTCAACAGTTATGATCTTACTGAGATGTCTCTTGGGTTGAAGCATACATCGCCGGGAAGATAGACGGATCCTCGACCGTCGGATTGGATAAATCTTAACCGTTGGATCTAGGGCATTAACTATTTCGAGACAAGGGAAGCGAACCCATATTAGCGAGTCCCTCTCCCACAGTGTTCTTTCTTTCGGCGGTGGCCTCGGAGTAGAGGGGGCTTGAAGGCGGCGACGAAGATGGTTCAGCGGCTCACGTACCGGAGGCGACACAGCTATGCCACCAAGTCCAACCAGCACCGGATCGTCAAGACTCCGGGTAACTCACCAGCTGCCATTTCTGGACCTCATCCTTTTTATGGATGTGATTAGATTCGTCTCTACTTCCTCTCTTGCTGGTTTTCTCCTTGTCCTCTAGCCATATTGTCTATTTAGTCTTCTTCAGCGTGAACATCCTGCGCCTCCGCGGCGAAGGCTTCACCGTCTCCATTGTATGCCCAACCGTCTTTCTTTTTGCCTTTTTAATCGACGCCGCTGATGGGCACCATCAAAGTTGGGGGCTCTCGTTGTTCCCTGCTATTTCTTTCGGATGGGTTCGTGCGTCTTGGGCCTTCTGACATGGTTTCTTTGCCTAGGTGGGAAGCTGGTGTATCAGTCGGCGAAGAAGAGGGCTAGTGGACCGAAATGCCCGGTAACTGGGAAGAGGATCCAAGGGGTTCGTACTCCTGCTCCTCCTGTTTCCCTTCTCTTGATCTTTGATGTGCCCATTCGTAGTATGCTGTCTCCCGTACCAGTGCTTTCTGGTGTAATTCAGAAAAAATGCATATAGGATTTCTGGGTTCATCATGCTTGATATTTGTTCGTATCATGGATGTTTCCGAATCTTATTTCTTTAATCACCTTTTCATTGTTTTCTTTTGATTTCTTCTTGTTTGGATACGGATCGTATGCACCTATCGCATAAATAGTTGGGGATTAAGATGATCCTTGAACTCTATGTTGACTGTGATCTTGCCTGTTTTAACTCTGTGTTAACTGTAATCTATTGAACAGGGTTTTTCTTTGACTTTCCGGGTCATAATAAGGTAGATGAACTTTACAGAGCTTAGATAGGAAAAGAAGCGGTGGTGCTGGTCGAAACAAATATACTGTCGGGATCCTATTCTCAGTACAATCCCGAAGAAGAAAAGTTTCAAAGCATGACCACATGCGATTCATTTCTCCTCTTTGTGGCGGTTTAAGCCAAAGCCAACGCGTCATTCATGTTCCATCAAATGCCCATTTGAATGGATTCTTCTCATGTTTCCCTGCTAGATTCAGACTTGCCGAAGTTTAAATCTTTGGCTTCCATTCCAATTAATCAAATTCCTCTGTTTTAAGTTGTGTTCTAGAAAATAATGGCTTTCCGCATGTCTCCACCAACATTGACCTGCCTTGATATTCCAGATTCCGCATCTCCGGCCTGCCGAATACAAGAGGTCAAGGTTGTCCAGGAACCGGAGGACGGTCAATAGAGCATATGGCGGGGTCCTCTCTGGATCAGCTGTCCGCGAGAGGTAGCTACACCACACTACCCCCCACCCCCTCCCTCATCTCTTTCATCAAGCTTTCTACTCGACTTCCCAGTTATCCCATCTTGCAGGATCATCCGGGCTTTCCTTGTTGAAGAGCAGAAGATCGTTAAGAAGGTGCTCAAGATACAGAAGGCCAAAGATAAGCAGGCATCGAAGCAGTGAGGTCGCTCCCCATTGGGTAGGCCCTTTTCCAGTGGCAATGCGGTCAAGCTACGAGGTTTTTTTGGTTTTTCTTTCATTTCAGTAACACAATGATGTGATATGATTCCTGTCCTGAAGAAGAAATCAAACGAGTAGCTCTGTTATTTTAACACCCCTTTCCATTATGGGGCCCGTTTTCCATTTCTCTAAGGTTTCCCGCTCTATTGGAGTCAGATCGAGCTCTTCTGATGAATTTTAGCTTAGAAGGCGGTAGTGTTGATCCATTCGGTAACTGGTGTTTCCGTCGATCTTTGTTGATCCCCCCCACCTGGGGCTGCCGAATGTCTTGATCGATAGATATAGAACGGCAGGTTAGTTCTTAAGTTTAGGATGTGGGGTGGACCATCTCGCTGGTATTACATGACTAGTTCCGGTCTGCTCCTAGGGTTTAAGGCACATTGACCTCGCTCTATAGCTCCCTCGCCTCTCTGCATTTCACTTTTCTAGCAATGGAGGTTTTCGCAACCCGGCTGCGTGGGCTGAATTTAATAACTTGGCATTTAAGACCACCAGGATTAAGTTCTGAAGTAATCAATCATTAGCTCTCAGGTGTGAGTAGGCAGCAGTATATTTTTAAGTCACGTGATTATATTGTTGGGATTAATATTCATTGGTATAAATATTTTCCAGGATATTTGCGTTTCCGATCCATTAAATACATTTAGTACATTATACTTTGGTATTGAAACCAATATTTATAGAAATCAAACATTTTATTAAAGGGTTTTCTGACCCTTCATATTTGATGAATCATAAATGATGAGAAACATTAGAAGTGTTGAAGTGAATTAATGATAGGAGGATTTTTCTTATTTTTAATAAATCAACGGAATAAGGGAAACAACAATCTTGGAAATAAGGGAAAAAAGTAAAAGTTTTTGTCAAGAATGGGATTCGAACCCATGCCCTTTAGAAGTGTTGAAGTGAATTAATGATAGGAGGATTTTTCTTATTTTTAATAAATCAACGGAATAAGGGAAACAACAATCTTGGAAATAAGGGAAAAAAGTAAAAGTTTTTGTCAAGAATGGGATTCGAACCCATGCCCTTTCGGACCAGTACCTGAAACTGGCGCCTTAGACCAACTCGGCCATCTTGACTTGTTTGCATTATACCAACTTCCTCAAATATTTGACGCAATGAGAGCATAGACTCGCTGACTGAGCACAGCCAATGGCAACCACGCCTTTATCATGAGGGAGGAGTTTCACAACAGATCTGTTTAGAACTTTGAAGTATCTTGTGTTTTGTGGACTGAGCTTCGGTCAAACGTCCCTTTTGCATGTCAACATCTCTGACTGAGCCCACACTTTGGCTCTGGTCCAAGCCCGGCGTTTGCCGCTCAGACGCCTAGAATTGACCGGGGCAACTGAAGGATAACAAAGAGAGTCAATGGAGAGAGAGAAAGATGGCCAGGATGAAGAAGAGGAAGCTCACCAAACCGATTTAAAATAATATTCAATGATATGTGAGTAGTGCGGGAAAAACCTAAGGTATCCTCTCCATGCTTCCTCGAAGCATCGTCGTCTTCGTCCTCCCCCTTCCTTTTCGGCGGCGACTCTGACCGCTTTCCTGCTCCTCGCTGGCAGCTTCCTTCTCACGGGGTATTTTAAGAACTAGGGCTTCCTTCTCCTCCTACCAAACAGACCGCATGAGAGCACCGTAACTCCTATCTTCCTCCTAGTCCTCTTCCGTCCCCCGGCGCTAGAAGTTGTGTCGACATGGAACAAATTCTCTCCAGCACCAACTTCGTTTCTCTTTTTCTGGCGGAGCTCTTCGAGGTTGTCTTCTTCTTCCCCCTTCTCAGCTGGTCCTCGAGAATCAAGAAATTCTACGTGAGATGGATCCTGTGTCTTACGTCGGGATTCTTCTCTGCGGGGTCGAAACAAGACGAGGAGGAGATGGAGGAGGAGCTCAGACTCAGTACACAGGAGATGAAGATGGTAATGGAGATGATGGGAATCAGCTGCGATGCTGCTGGGTCTGATGAGCCCGTCCGGGCCAGCGACCTCAGAAGGCTGTTCGATGAGGAGCCGAGCTTGGAGGAGGTGAAGGAGGCTTTCTCCGTGTTCGACATGAACGGAGATGGATTTATAGATGCGGAGGAGCTGCAGACGGTGCTCTCCAAATTGGGTTTTCCGGAGGGTTCGACTGTAGTGAATTGCCGGCGGATGATCAGTGTTTGCGACGATAACAACGACGGGAAGGTTGACTTTCCTGAATTCGTCAGGTTCTTGGAGAGCAGCTTCTCTAATTCCTAAGCCTACATATCTTCCACCTCCTTTCGTCTTTCTTCTTTTGTATATAGAGGTGCAAGCACCATTTCCATTTGGAAATAGAAAGACAAGAGAGAGTCCAATCAAATATTCGTTTTTAAGTCCCTAGACTTTACTTCGAGATCTGTGAGCGGCATCCTTCTATTTCTCAATTGTGTTCAAGTATAGCTTCCAATTTAGCCTATTATTGGGCTCGATATCAAGTCAATATAACACTATTATTTAATTCTAATATTTTTAATATTAAGTTATTTACCCATTGAACTTATATATATAATACATTTATACTTTAGAATGTAACAATAACAAGTTTCATTATGGTATATTTTTAACATTTTCCTGTCTTATGCTTCAAAATGACTATCACAAGGAACAGTGAGCCTATCTAGATGGGCATGGAGTCAAATTTAATGTTTTTCTCTTGGCCTTATATAGGTTTGTGTTATGAAAAACCCCTAAATTTGGAACTAAAGCTAAACAACACATGAGAAAGACATTTATTATGATTCTATTCGTTCCTAAGGTAGGCTAGAGAGAATACTAAGATGAGATAAATTGGTTCCTTAAATAATTTCTATCTTTTATTGGGTTTTATATGTTTTCTTTATTCTCTAGTAACTCTGCAACCAATCGATACAAGTTGGGTTGACTAGGTCAACCTTTTGACTGGTTTGTAGAGCGACTCAATTAAAAACAAGTCAATTGAATAGGTTGACTGTGCAAATTGCTAAGTGGGTTGGTATAGGGGTCAACCTAGAAGATTTTTGACTGATTAAATCTTAACTCTTTGAATTTCAACAGTCAAGTTTTAAGTTCTATGAAAATTCCATCTCAATAGGTTTCGTACTATTTTTCTACTGCACATCAATTTGATCTATTTGAGCAAGATCCTATATCAAATTTATGGTGGAAGTACAACTAAATCAAGCTTTCCTAAACATTATAAATGATGTGTAAGCATTTCATAGTTATCCTTGTATGTAAAGGCATTTTGGGAGGATATAGTCATAAAATTATTATGTAAGATGGCTTTGTTACCTAGGCGTATTTAAATAATTGTTCTCTAAGAGCAACAAGTGCATATAGGCTTCGAAAGATAGAACTAATACAAAAGCAATGTTTATCTATAATTATTATTTAGAAGTAGATCCAACTTAGTCAACTTGTTGTTCATTTATATGTAGGGTTTAATGATTTTGACGTTAATAATTGATTAAAAAAAGGATGAAATAAAAAAATTCCTCGAATTATTTTTAAATATACTAACATGAGAATCAATATCTAAATCTTTAGATCTAATTCTTTTATTCTACAAATATGTCTATCAAGCTTCATATGAAGTAAGCAGATGTTAAGAAAAAATGCATTAAAAAAAATCAAATCAGGGGAAAATAAAATTTAGGATATATACAGGGTGTTATTGGGCCAAGACATGTGTGGCCATCCACCTGTCGTACATCATGGGAAGGCTGACGTGGGGAGAAGCAGAGAGGGTGGGGTGTGTAGTTTGTTGGGCTTTGCCAGACCGTCGGACTTGGCCCATCTAGTCATTGGGCCTTCGGGCCGGGTTCATAATCCCTCGCCGGGCCCAACTTTGAGCCCCCATCCTTGAACAGCCATACTTTTCGCCCGCGGCTCTCTTTCCCCGCCACGAGCCGCCGGCGCTGGCGACGGAAAGGCGCTGGCTGACGTGGCCGCCGGCCGTCCTAATGTTTCTGCGATTCTCCCACACTCACGGAGGAGCCTCCGTGATGGACCCGCAGATTGGAAAATATTCTCCGAATCTCTCCGCTTGTCTGTATTGACGGCGCCGACGGAAGAAATTTCTCAGTAAAAACGTTCTAGAAGATATCTCCGAGGGACGTCGCCAGTCGCTAAAATTTCAGACGCGTCCGATCCACAGGAACGGTTCCAGATTTGTCGGCGCGCGCATATAGAGATGAGGCTCCCTCCGACGAGGCCCCGCGCCGCTCTGCTACTCCCTCCGCCTGGAAGCGTGAGAGAGAGAGAGAGAGAGAGAGAGAAAGAGAGGAGGAGCGCCGGCGGGAGAGCAGCTGCCAGCGGCGTGGTTTAGGTACTTTTCCGGCGAGCCCTCCTCTTTCACTCCTTCCTTCCTCCTTTACTCCTCACCCCATTGCGGGGGTATCCGACACTCTTCTCGCTACCCTCTATCCCGGCGGCCGCTCTCGCTCTTGAACTGGAAAGGCGGTGTGGCGCGTCTTTCTCTCTCTTGAAAGAGATTTCGGGACCGGGGGGACTGTGTGGTGGGGTGGAGTCACAGATCCTGAACCTCGTTTCTTCTGTTCAATGGTGATTCCTCTCGGTTCTCTCTACCCTGAAAAAGGGCAGACGTGTCTCGTTTCTTTAAGACATTTTCCTCTAGCAACTGCTGTGTGCGAAGCATGAACCTCCGACCGTGAACCTGTTCTATGTGTAACTTAATTTCTTTCCTTAGATACGTCTTATTTTTCCTTATGTCCGGAGAAAAAGAAAACCTGATTTTGGATGTTCTTCCTGCTAAACCTTTCTCTCTCCTTCCATCTAGCTGGTGAGTGAGATGGCGGCCACGACGACTGCCCCACCGGCTCTCTCTGTACGTCCGTGCAGCCGCCAGACGAGGTCAGCGGCGAGGGCGAGGCCTTCCCCCGTGACGGCACTTCGGAAATACTGCGGTCTGAAAGCCACCTCGCCATCCACGGCGAGCCGTGACTCATTAGAAACTGCTTCTTTCCTGGGCGAGGAGGGCGGCGCCGCCCTTCGCCAATCGATCACCACCTCATGGGCATCGTCTCCCCTGAATCAGGCTCCTGCGAGTTCGCTGCTCCGCCCACGCGCCTCCACCTTCAGGGTGGCCGTTCTTGGTGCCGGCGGCGGGATCGGGCAACCTCTGTCCCTGCTGATAAAGATGTCGCCGCTGGTCTCCTCGCTGAATCTCTACGACATCGCGAACGTGAGGGGCATCGCCGCCGATCTCAGCCACTGCAACAGCCCCTGCAGGGTGGCAGGCTTCAGTGGCGCCGCCGAGCTGGCGCGCTGCCTGAGCGGCGCCGACGTGGTGATCATCCCCGCCGGCGTCCCCCGCAAGCCCGGCATGACCCGCGACGACCTATTCACCATAAACGCCAGTATCGTCAAGACCCTGGTGGAGGCCGTCGCAGACCTTGCCCCCACCGCGCTCATCCACATCATCAGCAATCCGGTCAACTCCACCGTCCCCATCGCCGCCGAGGTGCTGAAGCAGAAGGGCGTCTACGACCCCAGGAAGCTCTTTGGCGTCACCACGCTGGACGTCGTGCGGGCCAACACCTTCCTGGCGCAGAAGAAGAACCTCCGGCTGGTGGATGTCGACGTGCCGGTCATCGGCGGCCACGCCGGCACCACCATCCTGCCGCTGCTGTCCAAGGCTCGGCCGGCGACGGTCCTCACCGGCGACGAGGTGGAGGAGCTGACGGCAAGGATACAGAACGGGGGGACGGAAGTGGTGGAGGCCAAGGCGGGCGCCGGCTCCGCCACCCTGTCGATGGCCTACGCGGCGGCGAGGTTCCTGGAGTCGTCCCTGCGAGGCCTCGACGGCGACCAGGAGGTGTACGAGTGCGCGTACGTGCAGTCGGCTCTAACGGAGCTGCCGTTCTTCGCGTCGAGGGTGAAGCTCGGTAGGAAAGGGGTCGAGGCGGCGGTGCCCGCCGACCTCCAGGGGCTGAGCGGCTTCGAGGAGAGGGCCCTGGAGGCCCTCAAGCCCGAGCTTCGGGCCAGCATCGACAAGGGCCTGGCTTTCGTCCGCAAGGAGGAGGTGCCCGTCTTGGTGGTGGCCTGAATGACCGTGCCGCAGGAACTTTCTGTTTCCTTTCTCTCTTGATTCTTCTATTTGAGAAATTTAGGTCTCCATTTTTTATTTCCAAAAACCCTCGTTGAAAACCTCTCTCTCTCTCTCTCTCTCTCTCTCTCTCTCTCTCTCTCTCTCTCTCTCAAAAACATAGATCTACATATGTGGGTCATAATATGATCTTATGCCAGCTCTATTCGGTCCTGAAGTGCGCATCTCCAAACTAATGCCCACTAATATTGGCATCGAGTCGCTGACGGACCATTGCGTGATAATGAGTAAAAGTAATGGGCTCCTATGTCAGTATAATGGTCCCATGGCCCATCATCGAAACCCATAAACCCCTTCACTTCTTATTGCCGAAAGAGGGGGGGAAATCTATGATTTTAAGGAAGGCTTTAGGGGGGATGTAAGACACAAAGGATAGAGGAAGAGTTAGGGTTACTGAAACACTGGGAGTTTGGGTCGCAAGGAGAGTGGGAGAGGTCTTTTACAACTGCTCTCTCATGGATGTTAGGGCCCCAGTGAGGAGGGGGAAGGTCCCCTTGTTATTGGTTACTTATTCTATTTTGTCTGGCCGACAAGGTTTTTCTTTTATATTTCTCTCTACTTTTCATGATTCCTACCTAGGGTTCTATTATCTAGTATCAAAGTCAATAACTTCGGGATGTCACTAAAGAGAGGAACGATAACAAGTACAACAACCACAAGGAGGTGAAATCACAATGGTATCATAATATTGTTTCATGTTGTTTGATATCTTCAACCATTAAAGGCTTATTTGAAGGAGTCATAAAGGGGCAAGTTCATCAAGGGGCTTAAGTTGGAGGTCAAGGCTGAGATTAAGCTATTGAAACCTAGAGGATTAGGAGAAATCATGGAAACTACTAAAGTTATTGAGGAAAAAAAGGATTGTATTATAGGTAGCATTGAATCTTGGAGGATTGAAGTTGGGGCGCCCAAGATTAGGGAAGTTGCCCCCTTTTGACTTCCAGGGAGATTGAGACAACCTATAGCTACAATCAAGAAATGACACATCAAAAATAAAGTTTAAACTAGCAATGAAGATCGTTCATGAACAAAACGGCTTAAATGCCAGTCAGCATTGACTAAAATAGAGCTAGAAGACTGAAGAGCTTTGTCTCCACCTCTGGGGATGCGTACTCCTCTTTTCTGCCTAAATGGATCATTTTCCTGATCACACTGAGTGACGCTTCTCCTAACTGACTCCTCTTCCCTTCCAGGTCTGATAATTCGCCAACCATTTCATCCAAGTCCAAATAATAATTCTTGGACTTTCCACAGGTTTGCTATGCGTATCCCACTTTATAGATTAGGCTTGTCTGTCCACTATGATGTACTTGGGATCACACAGGCCATGCCGTTCTATATTTTCCTGTGGGGAACTTATCCTCTTACCTTCCATTTCCAATTGTACCGGGGAGAGATTTTCGTTCCTAATGGTTGCTGTATTTATATTAGCTCCCAGTGACAAGGAGTGGATATCGTCTTCCTTCGCTCTTACCCTGAACTTGATCTCTATTTTTCCTTTTCCTAAATTTCTGTGCTGTTTTGATAATTTTCCTCTATACTTTTATTCTTCACCTCGTTTTTGTGTACTGTTGAGTGTGTGGTACTTGTATACTACTCCCTTTCATTCGCCAGTCCTTGGAACTGATTAAGAGCCTGATTTTTTCACTTTCCTAAATAGGTTTTAGGCTCCTCTCCCCTCCTCTCCTGTTCTACATTCCCGCTCAATCCTTCCTTTCTCTATTTTTTCTTTTTCATAGATTTTTTTTTTGACCCACTGCAATGTGGACTCTCTACCTTTCGGTCTGTAGCTTGATATCTTCCAGGTACCTCAGAATTCTCATTTTCCCCATCCTTCCCCTCAAACTGGTTCTTGTTAACTTCTTGCGCTCTCATTGTACTACTTTTCTGTTGGTAATCCTGATTATTGAACTCGCCCCCTTTTGGAAAGGCAGTCCTCAAATTTCCTGCCTTTCCCTAGCCTCTCTTTGTTTTATGTATTTTTCCCTGGATGCCCTTTTCCAGATATTTCAATCTATGACAGTCCTACAATTTGTGCCTGACCATAGAATAGTGGGTGCAGAAAGTGGGTAGGTTTTCCACCTCCACTCTTTGTTGAATGCATTCATTTTTGCCATTAAATATTATAATGAATTCGAGTATTGGGCTAGCTAGATCTACCTCAATGCAGATCCAAGGATAGCCTGGTCATGTGAAATCCCTAACGTCCTTATCTGTGCAGATAAAGGTACCTAACATTGATGCTATTGATTTTAATGGGGAAGTGTTCAGGTAGGCTCTAATTCCAGGGAGTCCTATCCAAACCATGGCCCTATTGGGTTCTACCTCTGGTGAAAAGTGAGCGGACCACTAAATGTGCGCATTAGTGTTCCTTTAATACCCCATATGAATCTACTCCATGCTTTTAGGAAAGCAGAGTCCGAGGCAAATCTAATTATGACATGTGGTCACTCCAAATCAACAAGAGACAATGGGTGCCTTAGACACATTAAGAGGAAATGAATGAGACCTAAATTGCTGACTTTTCAATCAATAATAGAAGAAAAATTATGGAGATGACATACTCAATGGATGGTAGAGAGGGACGGATTATTTAAACTCTGTGTATGAAAGAAATTCCCTAATCAGTCTAGATCACCCTATGTCACCTAGGAGATCGATAGATAGGTCAAAGAGAACCTTAATCTACTTTGATCTATTATCTGAATCCTCTCTCAATTCTCTCAACCTTGAAACCGTGCAATCTTGATACATCAAGAGATCACTAAATAAAAAGGAGGAAATAATGAAATTAGAGTATACTCTACTCTATATCTAATTCTTCTTTCACTCAATCTTAAGTGGGATCAATCTTGACAAGTTAAGAGATCCAAAAGACTTGAAAAAATAAGGAATAGATGGAAATGAATCATATCTAAGGCTCAATCTTAGTGTCACTCTAGGAGATCCTTAAATCTAACTTCTACCTACCCTCTAAAAAAATTTAACTCTCACTCTCATTGAGATGATCATTAGAAGTGTGGATACAAGAAAGTAAACATGCTTTCATTGAAAGAAAATATAAAAGAACAAAATGGTGACACAAAGGAGTATAGGTTGTCATATCTTGCTAAGCAAAGTTTCATGATTTTCATTTTCTCATTGTTTTAGTGTTTCCTCTCTTGATTTTGGTTCCTTTGGAGTTCCTTTCAATTGATTTCATGGCTTGATTTCTCCTTTGAAGCTCTCCATGTGTGATGACAGAGTTGTAATGTCACTTTCTAGTATTTTCTCCTTAATTTTGATATGAATTTTTAATTTCTATATTTGATTTTAAGTAGTTGATTGATGCTATCGTGTCAAGTGACAACCACGGTAGGTTCAATCATCACTTTCATTTGTAATATTTTGTTCTAAATTTTTTATAGTTTATTCAGTTATAATCATCTACTACATTTAATCATGGGAGGAGAATTTACTGATATATTTGTTTCTCCTTTTCCTTTGTTTCTATGGTTTTTCTAGGTTAATCTCTAGGAGCCTTTGAATCATTATGAATTAGAGGTCATCTAGAGACAATCAAGACAATAATAAGAATAAGGAAGCATAACCATGACAACTTGACAATTAGAGAAATCATTTGTTTGTATATTTAGTTTTCAGGTGTTTAATTTTCAATGAGTGTTGAGAATTAATTAGAGACATATTTTTGTCTTTCATCCATGTGGAGATGACCTAAATTCACTAAATTTATTGTTCAAACCATATTTAGAATTTGGTTTTTGAATGATTAAATGTTGATTTTCTTATAACACAACATTTAAGATCTAATATCGACCAAATTCCTTTGGCCCATATCTACTTCCTATGTCAACCAACATTAGGTTTCGATGTTTAAATTCATAACTCTCTTACTACAAAATTTTAGGAACTATTTTCAATCCTGAGTTCCTTCTTAAGTTTCCACTAAGTACATTCATGATCATATTTGTCATATATTTAATGAGATATTTTTTTAGTAATCAAGTTCATACTTCTAGACTAGTTTAGCCATATGTGAAATTAAACTAGTAATCATGTAAAGCCAATATCAAATCAATGCCTTGACCGTTTTCTTTGAAATTTGTATCACTTGACTCCTCATTGAAAGACCTTCGTATTCTTACTCACGTGTCTATATTATTTGAGCAATTTGATATAGAAAATTAAAACATTAAAGGTTATACGTGAGATGATAACATATTTACCTCACACAAATTTTTTATTTCCTTTATATCAATACTTATAATAGTCATGACCTTAATTGAAAGCTGAACTTAAATAATATATTTTTTATGAACTTGTCTATATCCATGCATCAATTTCATATTAATGTCTAGAAATCATCAAAACCATAGTTTCTCTTTTGAGTTGATCAATAATTTAACAATCTCCTACTTTTCGATGATTATAATATCTTAAAATGGATTCATTTTGTCCCTCTCTATTATTTGATAATTTATCTTCCTAAACTTATGATTCCTCCATTTATTAATTTTCTAGCTCAATTTTTATCCCCTTTGTAACATCAAGAAGATATATCTTCCCCTTTCTAAAATACTGAGATAAATAAGCACAACATCAAATAAAAATTCTACATTTCATGCATGTAACCTATTTTCAGCATATGAACATTTATATCTCCTATGAAATCAGATTTCAATTTTTGTTAAAAAACCAATGGATGATGCTTTTTCTTCAAGATATCAATCTATTTTTCCTTGGTTCTTCTAAATTAGAATACCTACATTTATGCTTTGATCATGTTAGTATTGTGTCATCTAAAATCAAGACACAAATCACCATAAAAATCAGAACACCTCAAGATTAATTATCAATCTTCAGAAGTATATTGATCAAGCATGTTCCAACTATCAAATGCAAAAATCTCAGTCTAAAATTTAATTTTCAAATATATTATTATAGAGATTCACTTAAATCGTCCACTAAGTTGAATATTCATGGCTCTAGCATTTAACTTTGATATATATTCCCTAGTAGCTTCATCTAAGGCCTTTTGGGGACTATCTCTAATCATCTTCCATACCTTTGATCCTTGACCCTTAGTATATATTTTTACTTTAGTTTTTAAAAATATATAATTTGTTTAAGGATAGGTGATCTTGGGTTTAAGGATTAGGTTGTTTCATTATCCATAAGATCTACACTTTGGGATGTGTTAATATATAATGACCAAGATGAACTTTGATATTAATTGTTAGGTTGTGTGTCTAAGAAAAGTACCAAGAGGGGGGAGGTGAATTAGTTTTCTATTGTGTCGATACACATTCTAGAATTATTTATGAGATATGTATGCAACTTAACATACCGTTCATATCTAGGTCACATCAACACTCAATTTGTTTTTCTCTCACTCCTAGTGATGGTTAACTATGTGACTTATTCATTGTATAATAAATCATGTAAATTTAAAATTTATAAAACTTAAAAGTATTAATTTTTAAAATTTTAGAAATATTTCAGAACATTGAAATCAATTATAATTCGATAAAAAGTTTAAAAAATAGTGAGGAATTTTTAGGTTGATCATAGGGATGTAAAATAATATCGAGTAATATTTCATAATTTTATTTAAATAATATATTCTTTAATAACTTTTAGACTAAATTATAAATATAAATTATATTTAAAATTTTGTGAAAATGAGAAATAATGGTGCTGGCTCAAGAATATGATTTATTTGAAAATAGAGTTATTTCTAATGATTCTCACATAAGCAATTATAGATAAAATTAGATGAATAAAATTTTTAAAATATGAAATCACATAAAGTGTCACTAAATTAAGTAAAAATTGAGTTGAAAGTAAGAAAGATAGAGTTCTAGCCTCATGACAATGATTACTGAAATTTTGTATATTCAAGACAATCATTGAATGATGTGTACAACCTTAAAGGCTTTTTGATAGATAAAAATAGAGTTTCATTCAACAATTCTCATGTAAGTAATTATAGATAATTTAATCAATAAAATTAAGATTTATAAAAGTGAGAAAAATAATGATAATGATCATTGGAATTCTGTATGTTCAAGAGGATCATCGAATAATGCCCACAACCTTAGAAATTCTCTTTGGACATATACAACTTAGGCATTCGTTAAATCTTTTTTTTAAGTCCAAAAAATAATGGTGAAAGTTAAATTAGATAAAAAAAGATAAATCAAAGTTCTGACGTAGTCACAAAGGCTTTTCTTGGATAAGGATGACATAGAAAATTTCTAAATCTTCTTACAAAGTTTAAAAATTAATGAAATAAGTCATCAAATCATCTCTAGAAGCTGTCACAAAGCATAATAAAAAAATAGCAACTTTGTAGTTCTCTAGCAACTATCACCTAATAAAGATGAATTGGATGAAGGTGAGGTGCATCTTAAGGAGCTTCATCCTCAGGTCTATAGTAAGAAGAGACTCTTCATCGCATCTAATATACTCTCAAGAGGTGGTGACTCATCTCCTTGTAGATCTTCCTCTTCTCGATGATGGCTTGTTCGTCAATCAATTAGAAATGATTTATCAATAGATTCATAATTTTTTTATTGTGAATCGTTCAATAATTTAGTAACAATATTTTGTAAATCATGTTGATGAAATTTTTATTGATGATTAAGTAATTCTGACGATTTAATCTCTTATTGACAATCTATAAAAAAATTATAATTTAATTTGATAAAAAATATGAGTTTTAACTTTAGTAGGATTTGAACCCTCATGGTTGTGGACTTAGATGAGAGTGAGTAAAATAAGTATAGAAATACCCTTATAAATTAATGTCATCAAAGTAACTCCTTCTGATAAATAAGAGGTATATGAGGTACAAGAATTATTAAAACATTCTAAGGAAGCTATGATCATTGATTTAGTCTCACATCAGTTATATACTAAATTTTGAGACAAATCTATTGTAATACAAGATCTGAAAAGTAATAAGTTCCTTTTTTGCATGTGTACAACCACTCTTTGCCCTATGTTTGACTAACCACCAATGACATGGAAGGAGAGTGACGCACATGTGTCTCTTATTAGTCTGTCCTTAAGTGCTCAAGCCCTTGTTCACAACTCTACTTGACTGTGCTTCTGACTTACTTGTGGGCCCGATTGACTAATAGGTTCCACCTTTTTGTATCTTTTTATTTTATTTTATTTTATTTTTATTTATCTCAAAAATAAAATTATAGAATTATATAAATTCATACAAAATTATATAATTAGCCAAAAATTCACATTAACCAACTAAAAACTATTTTTCATAAATTAAAATAAGATAAGTCTATTTATCATGAGTTAAGGTTAAAACTATATTATTTATTAATTATTAACTCATAATAATAAAGACTTATCATAAACATAGAATTTAAATTAATTCATCATTTCTTAAGCTACATCTAGTACTTGAGGATCTTCCTTCTAGAGTTTTACTACTTTACAATAGAAATACAATTGATTTTATTAGCTCAACTCTCCTAACACAAATGTTTGATCTCTATAAAGATCTCACCCCTTACGAGCAGATCTTGACTCACACCACTATATGCTAAAGTCAAAGTACAATTCTCCTCAAAGAATAATGCTTTTAAGATATTATGACAAAATAAGAAGGGAAACATAAAAAAGTTGTCGCACTTCTATCATCACAAATAGAGGCATAGGACAAAAATTAAATCATGAAAACAACTAAAATTTTGGAGAATGTTGAAAATCAGAAAAAGAATAAACTATAAAACTTAAAAATCAAGAACAAGGGAAAAGTGTGAAGAGAACTTGGGCTCTTCCTTGTCATGGTGGTGAAGAGTAGGACATTCCTCCTAGATGAGATAATTTCAACCAGCTAAAAAGAAGATCCTTATCTCCTCTCATCTCTCCCCTTTTATTCAAGTCAAGAAGGCATGAATCTATTACCTAAATTATCTCCAACATACTAACTCAAAACTTAGATCAAATAAGAGAAGTATTCAAATGTAGCAGCTGGTTGTCTTTCCTTCCATTTTTCATGGACATTGTTTTAAATTGACAGTTGATGTGACTTTAATGACTGACATGTGAGCTTGCTAACTTCTAATTCGTTGTCTCAAATATCATTTTGTGTGGATGTGGCTAAGAGAGCTGAAAGTTTAATCAACAATCCTGAACCAAATTACAACAAATTCACCAAAAATTCTCGCTTTTCATTTTAAAATTTAACTCTACAAATATGCTCTTGGAAAATAAGAATATGTTTCAAGAGTAAAAACATAGATGACTAGATTAGCACATTGATTAAGAAGATTAAAATAAATGAATTATAAATCATCCAAAGTATAACTTTAATCATGAATTTTCTATGTAATATTTCAGCTCATGTAAATGTGTTCTAATTCAGATATATGCATTTAACGTAAATTCATGTTACTATTATACAAGTTTTAACCTGTTTATCAGAAAAGATTAGAGTGTAATCATGTATGTATTTACACCCTCCCCTTCATTGCTTCCAACTCTGGATGATCAACCATGACTAGCGGTGCAACCCTATTTAGTGCTTGACAGGAGAGACACCAGACGACAAGGACATAAACCATTTGTCTAATGAAAGCATCAACCACCCTTTGAGGGTTCATGGGAACTGATCTAGAACTCTAACACAAAGTCCCTGACTTTCACCTTGAGGATAAGATGCATCTAGCCAAAAGGGAAAATGGTAGGCTCTCCAGACAGCATAATGGGCATATGGCCCATTATTAAGAACCTCACGTTGTAGAGCACCTCACGTTGAAGAGTTCGGCGCCATCGCTCAAGAGCAGCTATTTAGCGATGGGTCGTAGAGCAGGCCCCATGTATTCAACTGATACCGGGCTATTATCGCCGCCGCAAAACGATGAAGCGCCCCCGTGAGGCTTACAGGCGACTTGGAGGACTCCGAGCAAGTCGACCTCCCGCTTGAGGCAGAGGGCGGTCTCAAAGTACTGACGTTGGTCAAGGACGGACTCGGAGCAGGTGCCGTGCTTCTCTCACTCGTGCTTCCAGAACCGGCGGCCGTTGCTGCTCGGGCACGCCAGCGTGGGCCAATCCGACACCATCCGCGTCATCAGGTCGCTGATCTGCCAGAGGGAACACCGGGAGGAAGAAGAGGAAGAGGAAGATGACGAAGAGCAAGGGAAAGAAGAAGAATGATAACAGTGTATATAGATAGTTACATATAGAGAGAGAGAGGAAGAGAGAGAGAGAGAGAAAGAGAGAGAGAGAGAGGGAGGGAAGAGAGAGAGATAGATAAACAGAGAGGTGGGCAGAAAGAAAAGGAGAGAGAGATAGACAGACAGATAGATAGATAGATAGATAGATAGATAGATAGACAGAGAGAGGTGGGGAGAGAGAAAATCAGAGAGAGAGAGATAGATAGAGAGAGGTGGGCAGAGAGACAAGGTGAGAGAGATAGACAGATAGACAGATAGATAGATAGATAGATAGATAGATAGAGATAGGTGGGCAGAGAGAAAAGGAGAGAGAGATAGACAGAGAGAGGCGGGCAGAGAGAAAAGGAGAGAGAGAGAGACAGATAGATAGATAGATAGATAGACAGACAGAGAGAGAGAGAGAGGGGGGGAGGGAGGGAGGGAGAGAGAGAGAGGGAGGGAGGGAGAGAGAGGGAGAGGGAGAGAGAGAGGGAGAGGGAGAGAGAGAGGGAGAGGGAAAGAGAGAGAGAGAGGGAAAGAGAGATAGAGAGAGTATTGCACCTTGGTGATGTCGAAAGCGTCCTCGGGTTTGTAGAAAGAAAGGTAGGTACCATCCGCGTTGTTAGGCCAGAGGCCGTGGATGCGGAAGTCGGCCGGAGGCTTCCCGGTCGTTGGGTAGCAACAGCTCTTCATGGTGTCACAGAGAGACCCCGGCCACTATACACACCGCAGAAGTTAGAACGAGACGCCTCCCCCTTTCTTTTAATTCAAAGTCAGAGAAACTGGCTGATGGGTCTGCGTACCTGTTGAAGGAAGTAGATGAAATCGAAACCTAGTGCGGGAGAGAGAACCAGAAGTATCATCAGTTGGGCGAGCTTCGACGACAGGCTAGTGTTCTTCATCTTAACCTGTATATCTATTCAGGATTGAAAAGAGGGAGGAGAGGGAAACGGGTTAGAGGAGGCGGCGTCTAGAGTGAGGAGAGAGAGATTTCTCTCTCAGGGGCTCCTAGAAATAGCCGGGTTGATGAGTACGCCGTGAATAACGACGTAGGGAAATAGAAAAGGAGAGAAACGAGTAAGAAAGACGAACGGCAATGAGAACCTAATCCGGACAACCCACATAACCATCCACGGGCGTCTCAGCTTGCAAGGCTAACAATGTCGTCGGCCCTTCAACGTGCGGATCGTATATTTCCGTATAATTTAAACCCACGTTTTAGACACTGTCAGATAAAGAAAAATGGATTATTAGGAAAATAAATTTAGCTGGAACAAAGGCCATTATTTCCACAATCCCAGTTTCGTTATCTTCTATCCAACAAAAATAAATAAATTAATCTCGATACCGTCTGTCTTATAATTATAAACTCGAGTCATCAGTCGAAAAAATAAACTCAAGCGGATGTATTATATAGTTAATATCCTTGTTCATGAATAATACCATGGATCAGTTGCGACGGTATCACTCAAACGCTCACATATTAGGATGCCAATCTGACAGACTCTAGCTTTTGCTTCCCCACAGATCGAGACCAAGATCAGCAGAACCCAATCTTGCTCAATGATCAGATTCATTGGATCTGACTCTTGGTCGAGTTTTAGATTGTACTTAATGGAGAGGTCAATGCCAAATGGACTGACCCGATCTTATCTTGATTAAGATCAAGAGTGACGGTACCCAGTCTGTCCTCATGCCTTCCTACAAAGGATAACTTTGTAAGGCTAATTCCTTCATGTCTGACGAAATAGACCGTCAGACGCACAGCAAGAAACACTTAAATTGAAAAGGTGTGACATAAGATCTCAGAACTAGCCGGGTCGACGCCTCCATCGACGAGCCGGTCGGTCAGACGCCAGGTTGGCCCTTCTATCAACCTTCTGTCATTCACTATGAATATTATAAATATTAGAAAACCTGGTCTGTGCACGTGCTTGACTGAGTACGGAGCTGAAAAATCACCGTCTGAGGGCTTGATCGTCTCCCCTTTGTATAAGACTGTTCTTCTCTTTCCCATTTTTTAGGCTCTTTGGGCGGACGAAACAAGGGAAATGAGAGAGGATTCTTTACCACTAGACATGGTTCCGCATCCGCATTACGTACAACTACCCCAGTGAATAAAAGGTTGGATAATGGCCACTTGGCGAGGGGGCGAAGATTATTGGGTTAAATAAGTGAAGACCCTTGGGGTCGTGTAGACGAGAGAGCGAGAGAGGACAGCTTGAATGGAGGCCTCCTGCTCTTGTCTGTACGAGAGAATGGGAAACACCCTCCGAGGACGGCGGTAGCGAGTGTTGGGAAGCACACACTTTGTTGGGCGGTATCGTTCCGCAATTGTTCAGACACTGCAAGGATGTTATCTGTACAATACGATTTCCGGGTTAGATCATGAGTTGAGTAGAGCTGTTAACTCTAGCAGTAAGGCGGTTGAAGCACGAAATTAAGTGTACGCGACTGAGGGTTAGTGGAACCCAAGAATGTAATTCTTGGTAGAAGGAAGACGTTGGGAGAACCGAACCACAAAAAATCGTAGTATTGAGTACAAGGCAGAAGATCAATCTTAAAGTTATCTGCAAACAAGTTTAAAATCAGTTAAAATTAGTAGAAATCCGTAGTAACCCAATTCATCCAACCTCCCCCCCCCCTGCCCCCCCGGTTGGTACACAGTTTCCAAGCACACTAGGGACACAACACCCCTAGTCAAGTCATTTCGTTGTTGACCCATAATTGACTATGTCGATACGCTATATTCATAATAGATAGAAAATACATTAAAACATGCAAAAAGGCTAAGACTTTAAGGAAACTAATCAAGCTCCCCTTCTTCTTGGGACCAACACTTCTCAGGAGAGTGACAGTGCTGTGATAAACTATCTAATAGGTTACAACGAAGAACCAGTGGAGTAACAAGCAAGATGAAAGGCTGTTTGACATGACAAGACCATTAAGACAATATAGGATTGGTTGTCTTGAGGTAATCCAGTTGCTGGTGTCATGATCACTAGTGCGATTTCACAACTATTCAAAACTAAGGTTCATTTCTACACAGTAAAATATTCAAGGAAGATTAGTTGAATCAATCCCAGGGAGGAAGAGTTCATGGCATAAAAAATGTAGCCTGGGGTAAAACCACTATAACATTTCTGTGCATTTTTTGTTGTCTTAATTGTGTTAAATTGTGTGGATATCACAAGTGCTTCACCACAGTGAACCAGAAGAGCCAATCTGGTTTGCAATTAGATTGACTATTATAAATATTTATAAATTAATTTAAACTTTTTTAGCACAATTATCTTCACTCTAATTCAATTGCATGACTAAACATAGTCTACAAACAGAAAATAGTTTTTATAACCATGTAGATTACTATGAATTGAACTAGATATCTCTATTTATTAGAGATCATGATTAAGTCTATTCACCCTTCTTTATACTAATTTGGCCATCATCTAGTCTCTTGCATCTCATCTAGGGGATTATGAGAAAGCAATGCAATAAAATGTTTACCCATCTATTTAGTCTTCACTTTAGTTGAGAGCCTAAGAGATAGGAAGAACACCTACGCAATCTTACATACTCTATTATTGGTCTTTAGTTAAACATATCACCCACCAGTCAATTAATATTTTCAAATCATTGAAATTCAAATTAATTGAAGAAGCACAGCTAAATTGTGTTTATTATATAAGACTATGTCTTATATCTTGAGTTTCCTGTTATTAGAATTTGGTTGCTTTATCCATATGCAAAGTTGACTATGCTTAGCCTAAAAGATATTGTGCCAAAGGTCCATAGATAAAATATCAGCTTGAAGACTAGAATAAAAATAAACAAAATAATTATTTTATTAAAAAAAATAGTGCAATAAATCTATAGGCTAAAAATCAAATCATTGAGACAAGAACCAAGTATGAAGAAGTCAAACATCATTTCTTTGGAGTTTAGTAAATTGAAGAGATTTCATCAGAAATTATGTTGAAAGTACTAAATAGCTAGTTGATATATTTACCAATGCCTTATCTGAAGATAGATTCTCTCATATATGAAGAGAGCTTGGAATGTGATACAAAAATAAGGTAAGTATATCGTAACTTTTGCCTTTTGACCAATGAATAGCCTATCTGAGGAAAAAAACTTAGGACTTAAAAATACCTCCTCACATGGTGAATATATGTTAGGTGGATGTGCATCAGAGTTGTAAATAGGACACCTTGGATTACCATCATTGGAAGCCATTTTGTAGTTGCATTTGAGCTCTTACGTCATTATCCTAACCTTTAGCTATTGAGTGTTTGATGAAACTTTTGAATTTTTTTATTGATAGTATTTTGGATTTCAATTAAATTGACTCTCTAAAGAGCTTGCATATCACAATTAATGCCAATAGTAAGGTTTCCTCCATCATGCTGATGGTATATCTTATTCAAAGAACGTTGGGGACTCGAAACATTACTTTGATGTACTTGAGAGGGAAATTTTAAAATATATGAAAGTTTGCCCTACGGCTTGAAAGGAGATGTGAAGAAATTTTTTATTTTTTATCAAAAGCATCCCATTTTACAATTGGTCTTAAAAGATGTACAAGAGGTTTTTTAGATATTCTAAGAATAAGAAATAATAAGAAAGTCTACTTGTACATAATATTTCCTTGATAAAAGGAAGTATTTATTGTACATAAAGACAAACATTTTGGCTGACTCTACCTTAATCTTAAATGTTTTACATATTTGAGCTTTCTTGATTGCATGTGGGCCACTGATGTTACCTAAAGTTGTGTCATGCATTAATATGTCACTTAAATTTCTTATAAGCCTTAGAGGTGAAGTCATTTTCAAGAATGTGTTACCAAGTACCACTTCTTACAAGGCATATATCCATATAATTCTATTAGAGCTATACCAAATGTGAAACTTCATAGACAAAATGTTAGTTAATTTTTACAATATGTATACCGTCTAATCATGACTTGCATATGAAGATAACAACTAAATATCATTAAATGAGAAAACAATAGAAGAAAAATAGTGGAACAGAACAAAAGGTCATTTTACAAGGTTAAATTAATATTAATGTACTCTATCTAACATAATTCAAAAAGTGGAAGTATATGTCCACATTTTTAAACCTTCACATGATGAAAGAAATTTATTTTAATTAAATTTTAAGTAAAAATCAAGTGAAGAAAATGAACTAGTGAGTCGATGCACGTTACATGTGAATTCAATCCATCATAAAAATAGGTCAAGCAATATTCAATAAATCTTCTGCCATTTACAAGACATCTTGTTCCATAAATCATTTAGACATTAAACATCAAGATATTTTAAATTAATAAAACAAATCAAAGGAGCACCATAATTCATATATCATATAAACTTAACACATGATATACACCTTAAATTTTAAATTAAATGTGAAGATGTAAGAACCGTGAGAAAATTACTCTTAGTGGACTCACAGAAAATGCGACTTATATGGATCGCCAACCAATAACAAAGAAATGAAGTAATATAAAAATCCACAACGGTAAAAACTAAAAGGAAGTTAATAACAAGCTTCAGACATGAATTATCTCACTAACAGTTCATGCGTGATATTCCTTCATTTCTTCCTAATATATAGGAAAAATGTAAGACATGCCAATACTTTAGCTTTCTAAAACAATACAGCATCTTTGAATTATCTTCAAAATGCATAAAGCATGGAAAAGAATATTAGAAAATTGAGTGGTCTATTATCTTTTTCAGGGTTTCAATGGGTCACGCCTTGATCCCATTTCGAGTTGTCATATCTGTCTCCGAACCGAATAGAACAGTGTAACAAAAGGTTAAGCTTGTGCGGACTGCATTACATTCCGGGTCTTATTTGGCTCGTTGACGTAATGACACTATCGGCGATGACGATGAATGAGTGAGATCAAGATGTACGCCTTCGGACATGCCAAAAAATTCATTCCCTTTTACTTCTTCTTCTTCTCTTTGTTCTTGAAGCTGCTTTATCTGCCTGAAGTCGGTTCACACGACTTCAGGCAGATAAAGCAGCTACAAAAGCTATGCCTGTCAATCGAGCAGGTGATTTTGGATTAGCTCCTGGGATTTCGGGTCGTTTTACTCCCGCCGTTCCTCATTCCTCATTTTCTAAAAATAGAACCACGAGACTCTCCTTTAATAGCGGGTATTAGAATATGAAGTCGGGATATCCTAATCTTCCAGCCAAAAGTCTTTGATGGAAGAAAACAAAGGGAAGACCAATCTGCACTGGTAGGATCGATGGATGGGGGGGTTCTCTAGATGATCCCAGTCGTCGAGAGGAATGTTCTACCTCTGGCCCGCCAATTGAAAAGTCCCACCTGTCAGAAACGTGGGCTTAACTGGTCTCCCTTGCCCTTGTTATATATGTTGGCGATGTCAAGGAATCTCCCGGGTTTGAGGCCTGAGGAGACATCCTGAAGAGGTTTGCTTTATCGGAGGTGTCGGTGGAGACGGAAAGATGAAGGAAGTACTGAGGACCATGGTATGGGTGTTCCTTCTCTTCGCCGGGCTGGCGAGCGCCCTCGAGCTCCCCGAGAGCCCTCTCCGACTGATGTCAGCCGCCGGTAAAGAGCCACCTCATCTTCCTCTTTCTTGGTCCGCAAGCATTTCCTTCCGTGCTAAAGATAGATAGTGTGTGGAAACCCATTATTTTCAGTCGTAAATGCTACAAGGGATGTGGAAATCCTGTTCTACTCGGCGGAGTTTTTCCTCCCAGAGGAAATCAAGGTTGCCTTGGAAGAAATCAGGGCGGCGGCTGTCGTCCCAGTGGTGAGTGCCGCAGTGACCGTGTGCCTGGCTATGTCTGTCATGCTGGTGGCGGAGACGGTCTACCTCAACGCCGTTAGCATCTTCGTCAGGCTCCTCCGCTGGAATCCGGAGAGGCAGCAGAAATGGGAGGTCCTCCAGACGGACCCCGAGACCGGCAACCTAGCGTTCCCTGTGGTCCTCATCCAGATCCCCATGTACAATGAAAAGGAGGTATTGTCCCACCTTCTAGCTAATGTAGCTCTCTCCTGCTCTCTACATTAAATTTCACAACTCCATCTCCAACTCCACCGTTTGTCTGTCTGTCTGTCTGTCTGTCTCTCTCTCTCTCTCTCTCTCTCTCTCTCTCTCTCTCTCCCAGAACAATCTCAATCAGAACATTAAGAAAAAAAATTGTGGTGGTTTAAGGTTTACAAGCTCTCCATCGGGGCAGCCTGTCGCCTCCTCTGGCCGCCTGACCGGATCATCATCCAGGTGCTCGACGATTCCACCGACTACTTGATCCGGGTAAGCTGTAGCGTCCAAATCAACTGGTTTCTTTTCCGTTATTTTCGGATAGTATGCACATTTACAGGCTATGATTATATTGTGAGAGGGAAGAATCGAACCATGTGGGAGCAGGTGTCCACGTTGCTTTTACCAAAGCATGGACGCCTAGACGGGCCCTTTCTTGGTTTCGTGGGGAGGTTGGGAGAGAGACCCAGTTGCTGCCTCAGGCGAGGGCACAATCCAATGAAGTTTTCGCTGGGGATCACTAAAGAAGTCCGCTTTTGCCCGTTCACCGGAATATGTTTGTTCCGGTTGTGGACAGAGAGAGAGCGAGAGAGTCCCTGGTTTCGAGATCTACAGCTCCAGACCTCTTCCCTGATTTTGAGATATTCAAACATTGGAGCACACGTTGCGTGTGCGAATGGGACTCGTGGAAAGCAGGTCACACGGGTTTTGACCGTCTCCTGAGGCGTACTGTCGGTGAATTAGCTGAAAGGGGAGTACCCCCGTGGCCGCTGCCGGCGACGAATGGGAAGACGTCAGTGATAATAATGATCGATCGTACGACTGCTGAAAATTACCCTCGCCCTTCCCGTTAACTCTACGTGGACGGCGACTCGTTTCGTCGCTGCGGAACAAACCAAAGGTTTCATTCCCTGGGCTACCCGGTAAAAGAACCTAATCGTAAAAATACCCTGGAGGGTATTTATGGAAGCGGCGAAACCTAGAGGGTGGAGGCGCAGTTTCCCTGTGAGATATTCCTCAATTCTTAGGAGTGCTAAGTGCCACGTAATGTGATTTGGGTGATATTTAGGGCCCAATCAGCGAGTTCACCAGTTCATGCAAGTTGTGCGAAAGGTCACCACATGTGTCTAAGTGTCTAGACAGAGGTCAGGTTCAGACTGGTCGAATCAGCTAACTACGGCCATAGAAGCTTGCCAGACTAGCCATTTCAGCTGATTGGACCAGGTCGGACTAACCAGGAATCAATATCTTTGGCCATATTCCAAAGGATATATGGGACGTCTAGTAACGACAATTTTTCACGTTTCTTCATGTTCCTAGAGAATAAATAAGCACAACTGCGAAAAACATGCCCGAGCGCTCTTCTTTCATCTCAATGTAAGAATATGTAGATAATTTATTGAGAATATACGTACAGCTGCATTCCATTTGAATGGTCTTGTTCATCGTACAAAAAAGGAAATAAATAAAACACTCTGTTTGTGTTTTTGGTGAGAATACAGGAGATGGTGGAGCTTGAATGCAAGTCCTGGGCTAGCCAAGGTGTGAACATCATGTACGAGTTGAGAGACGGAAGGAAGGGATACAAGGCGGGAGCTTTGAAAAGTGGGATGAGGCGGAGTTACGTCCAGCGATGCGAATTTGTTGCCGTCTTCGACGCCGACTTCCGACCCGAGCCGGACTTCCTCCGTCGGACTGTCCCTTTCCTCGTCCACAACCCCAGGATCGCCCTTGTCCAGGCACGCTGGGATTTTGGTATGCTTCATGATAATAATAATGATAGTAACGGCCGTAACCATAATGATTTATTTAATTTATGAGCAGCAAGGATTTGAGGACACTGACCATTTGTGTCCAAATGATCGGAACTTCTTGAATCTTTGAAGATCAACGATGGAAAAATACTGATATCTCGCTTGAAGGTTTATGAAAGACCATGTATGCACAATGTTTCCTGAAAAGGTTTACTGACATGATTTCAAAAGGTCATATTTGATGATAATCGACTACATTTTGGTATAATTGCGTTGAATTCAATGTTTCGATGGTTACTTGAACTTCTCTGACCTTCTCTTCTGTAAAACTTAGTGCCCATGATTCACACTCCTATTAGCAATTATCCGTTCATAGGGAGCTGCTGACGTAAGACCTAACGGGCTATTTTGCAGTAAACTACAAGGAGTGCTTGATGACGAGGATACAAAAGATGTCGTTGGATTACCATTTCAAGGTGGAGCAAGAAGCGGGTTCTTCTGCCCAGGGTTTCTTCGGTTTCAATGGTTTGGATTCTTGGCTGTGGGATTGACGCTGTTTCATAAGAAAAAATTGGGATACATTATCTGTTGCACGGTCGACCATTGTTTGAGCATGAAAGGGCATTTCTGTATCATTCCACTGTGAAGGGACTGCCGGCGTCTGGAGAATATCAGCTCTTAATGAAGCCGGAGGGTGGGAAGATCGAACGACCGTCGAGGACATGGATTTATCCATCCGAGCTTGCCTTAAAGGCTGGAGATTTTTATACGTTGGTGATGTTAAGGTAAATATCGTCGGAATTTTTCGCTCTTCCGTTGTTCCAATCGGTTGTGATCCGCAGCTATTATCTTGGGTATCAGACTACTTTTCGAGAACTATCTTCTTGAAATTTATAATCTTGGGCTCTGATGTTTCTGTGTTTTCTATCAATGGCATTGTGTGCATGTGAATGGACCTTAGAAGAAATGAACTAGCCAAGGCATCATGTTTATTAGCAACTAGGCTTCGAGTTTTCCTCAGGAATGAGATCTGATCAAGTCCAGGGAAATACCCTTAGTCAATTCTCCTGGCTTCCTGTTTCCTGTAGGTGAAGAGTGAATTGCCGAGTACCTTAAGATCATACAGAGATCAGCAGCATCGGTGGACTTGCGGCGGGGTGAATCTATTCAGGAAGATGGGTCTGGAAATACTGAGGGCCAAGGTTGGTAATCCAGAAACTGAGTTTCGCATTCAATAATCACGAGGGACAACCCAAAAGAGGGTGAGCAAGCGTCGCCTTCTGAATGAGTCAGGAAGTCTCGCCGTGGAAAAAGCTCTACTTGATCTACAACTTCTTCTTCGTGAGGAAGGTTGTGTGCCACGTCCTCACTTTTGTCTTCTATTGCGCGGTGATCCCCATCACTTCCTTCGTTCCTGAAGTCGAGATTCCCGCATGGGGCCTCGTCTACGTCCCCACAACCATCAGCCTCTTCAACGCCATGGTGAATCCTAGGTTTGAGCCCACAGCGACTTAGTAAGATTCGCCTCCACTGCATACAGTTCTCTATTCTCACCGGAGGTTCTCTCATGGCGGCAGCTCGATCCATCTCATCGTCTTCTGGATCCTCTTCGAGAATGTAATGGCGATGCATCGCATGAGAGCGACCATGATCGGCCTTTTGGAGTTTGGAAGAGTTAACGAATGGGTGGTCACCAAGAAGATCGGAGATACTCTCAACGAAATACCCAAATCTGGAGAACACGAAGATCCTCCAAAAGGGATTAGGGACAGGTGATTATCACGTACGCATAAAACTCTGATTTTCCTTCATTCTATGAATGTAGGTCGTGCAATTAAAACACAATTAGGAGTAATAAATATGGGCCAATATTGTTAGATATATTAATTTTTCTATCAAAGGACTTATCTCATTCCTTCAGCTAGGGATTAGTCTAGAATCATTGATTACCAGTTTTACACGACGGGTAACACACTTAATGTCTAATTTTTTATACCCTTCAGGCTTCTAACTCCCAGGTGCTGAGTATCAGTCCAGCCTCATGATTTAATCATCTTGCTCAATGAGATATTATTCTATCATCAATGTCTGACAGGATCTACTGGAACGAGCTTGCGTGGGGCGTCTTCCTCTCGGTATGCGCATCTTACAATCTTGCCTACAACAAGAATTACCACTACGTTTACATCTACCTGCAAGCCATCGCATTCTTCGTGGTGGGATTGGGTTATGTGGGAACAAATATCTCTCCCTGAAAATCTTCTTCCAAAGATTGATTGGTTGATCCTGAGGGCAAGACCACACCACAGGCAAAACGAAACCTCAGCTTTGAGGAATACCAACTGATGGAGATGTCTCATTCTTGTCTCCTCATTATGTTTTCATGATTTTTGTTCGAGCTTTGACATCTTTTGAACCACCGGCTGTCCAAGTTTATCTCCAGTGAGAGGAAGGTTGCAATGAGAAAAAGAACATCTGCTCAAAATGAGAAGGAAATTAAGAAAAATAAACGACTTTCAACACAGAAAAAACTCAAAGCCGGTGTACGTGTGTATGAGATCAGACGCCACACCAACAGCAACACTCATGTAAGCGAACATATTAAATTATTTCATTCAAAACCCCAAGTTTGGAGAAAAATCCAAAATATAACGTCATCAGACTGTGAAGTACCCTGTTGAAGAATGTGCTTCAAATCGTGGGTCAAAGGATCGTCAAAAAAATGATACCTAACTATCAGTATCAAAAAGGGTAATTACACTGTTGAAGAATGTGCTTCAAATCGTCCGTTTCCTGCCCTAAACGATCACCCAGACAACTATCCGCCCGTACATAGCCATGGAGAATGTGTTCTCCAATAAAGCTCAACTGATACACAGCCATTTCTTGACCTGAAGATATATATAAATAAATATACCTAGTCTGAGTCTGGGTCAGCGTCAACAATATCTGGCAATGAATCTAGAGAAGGGGAGCGGGAATCATTGGAGAGCCTCATAATTCCCTGAGTTGAAAGCACATGACTCTCAGGGGGAACATCTCCACCTCCCTGGATATCGCCCCCTTTATACATGGCAGTTTCCTCGCTTGAGACCAATTTGATCTTCTTACCGTCAGAAGAATCAGCATTCATGGAAGGTTCTTCCTGAGTATTTCCCGGTTCGTCATCATCTTTGTCTTCAGCCAGAGAGGGGAAGACAACGCCTATGCCTGGCTGGGGCTCTAGAATTGTTCCAGTGGTTTTAACAGCATCTTCCATGCGCTCATCCACCTTAGTAGCGCCGGTTGAACCTTCTTCCCGACCATCTAAGCAGGTATTATAGGGCTCACCATCGTCATTGGCCAGAGCAGAATCATCAACGACTTGGGGAGTTTCTCTTGGATCTGGGAAAAAATTTGACTTTCGGCCAGCAAGAAACATGCTACCAGGCTGATTACTAATTATCCGATTAAAATCAGAGCCCCTCTGCGCAGGAGAATCCATCAATGAAAGGGACCGAGGATGGATGAGAACTTCTAATGCCAGCATCGCCCGTGTACAGAATGCGGCAACTTTGGTTCCTATTTCCTGTTTTCCTGCAAAAAAATTGTTTTTCCGCAAGAATGCTATCAGTGAACAAGAATCAAAGATTGTTAGCATTCCAAGAATTATTGATTGGAAAATGTGGAATACAAATGGAGAAAAACAAAAAAGTCCCCACACGGAATTTTTCATTAGTTCTTAGAGATAAATAAAGGATCCTATCCCAAGAAAAAACAACGATACATTACTCAGCAAAAAATGAAGGTAAAATGAAAACTTGGCAATGTTAAAATTTAACTGGTTCATCACTAAATACTATTCATTTGATGCAGCCGCGTGATGAGCATAGAGCGAACTATCCTTTCGCCTTTTACAAAAGAATACTGTGGGCTCGTCACATAAAGCGGTATACGCCTATTGTTGGAGGGAATCCACTCGGAGTCGGATAAAAAAAAACAAAAAAACAAAAAAAAACTATTCATTCGGCATAGCCACCTCTCTGCTTCCCCTATCAACAGTTATCATCCATTTCAAAAGTAGGCAGACCAGATGCTATAACTGTTTGAATAACTTAAAGACAATCACATTGTATAACACCTCAGTAAGCATATTTTTAATTAGAAATTTAGTTGGAAAAATATCTTCTTAGCTAAGTCACAGAAAGGTCCTGTCAAGTACTTCCACACTTCCATTAGTATACTATCATAGATCATAAAATTACCCTCTGAAAATAATTATACATATGAACTACCGAAAAATGTCAGAATACGATGGAAAGACTGAAGGGCCGTATTTTGGACAGAAGGTATTCTCAATCCACAATTTAAAAAAATCTTATATTTGAAGGAATTTAAAAAAGAACTTGGAGTGGAATCTTTCATGTAGCTTCTAATCCTGATTTGATTCGCTGGAAATGAAGTTGTTATATTTTTAAACTTAGATGAAGGTGCATCAGAAAGCCAAGAATGCATTACCCACATATCGTAGAAGGGAAAATGTAGAGTTATCTTAATACGCATTAATTACTTTAATGGAATTACTTTAATGGACATATAAGAAGTTCAATCGCTTGACTTTTTAATCGAGCATCTTGAAATCAAAAATTTGCGGACATACGTAAAAATCCATAAAGGTAATCGCTATGACACAATGTTCAGTAAATGAAAACTCCAGAGCAACTGCTAAGTATTACCTCTATAGAAGAGCTCAAGACCTTGTGAAAAATATGGAGAGCGGATGTGAGAATGTGAGAGTAGAGATGCTAAAAGTGCCCGGAGTGCAGCAAGTTTGAAATCAGCCCAAGCATAGTATGAGTCCCACTCCAGCATGCTCCTCTTTCTTTCATTGTCTGGCCCCACAGAACAAGCATCTGTTGCCACGGAAATCAGAAGCTGGTCCACATCCTGTCGCCAACACTCTGCTTTCAATGACCCGGCCTGTTACGGTTTCAGTTAAAAAACGGCAGATTAGAAAGAAGCCTCAGGCCGACAGAATTTCTTAAAAGATAAGAATTATGTGAAAAGGCTGAAGAACCCATATGCGTGTTTGCAACAAATCAATTGGGTAACTCAATAAAAATGTATTACATTCAGATACCAGAGTTATTGCAGCCAGGCTAAAATGCCCGAGGCACATAGAAACAATAGAATCCTGTTCCTTTTTATTGATATATTACTTTGCCGAGAAAAATATCATAGTTCCGAGCACAGACAGTGGAAAAAAATAGAGATCAATCAAAAGTACTGTTACACACTGAAAAAAAAAGTTGCATTAAAAAATGAAACACTCAGGTTCCTTGGATGTATATTAGAAAGCTAATGGCGTCAGTTCAAAGAAGAAGGCGACTCCGTAAATAAAAATCTGCCCTTGAATGTAAAATAATTTCGTTTACATGTTCGAAAAACCAGATACAAGCTTTGAGTAAACTTTGCAGCTGTAATTCGCTGATATCCATGTAAAGATCATAAGAAATGAATGTTCGTACTTACCACAGTAAGAAGAGTTTCTAGTGTTTCAAGAGCTGAAATTTGAACAGAAAGGGGAGCTCCGAGTGTTCTGTTAACTGACTTCTCTCCGAGGTCAACAACAATCTGGAGGTCCTTCGGAGCACCAGACCCGTACTTCCTTTTCTTGCTCTTGCCGTGAACTCTAGATCGTACCAACACGTTAGGTTGATCCAGATTAGAAGACCCTTTTCTATTCTCGTCACTAAAACAATTCAAATCATCAAATGCGTTGTTGATGATTTCTTCTCCCAGGTATAGGGCCATTCCTGATCCACAGGACACAACACTACTAATCAGCATCAAGATAGACATTCGTAAGTCATTGTCAAAAACTTACTAGACACAATATAGCCCAGAGATAAACATTCCAAGAAACAATAGATATCAATGCTTTACAAAAATCTGATCAAATCCAAACTAGCGGTGACCCACAGTTTTCACTTTAATTGTTTCGTGGGAATAAACCAAGTAAAATAATCAAATAGAGGGAGAATTTTTTCCCATTTCTTCTGTCAGACCATTGAATCTGGGAATCAGAACACCAGAAAAATGTTTTCCACTTGAGCATATAACACGACCTTATGTAAAACAATGGAGAACAGGTAAAAGATGTATGAGGCCAAAAGTCATAAGCAATCATGCGCGCCAGAAATCAGTTACTCTAAGGTGAAAAATTAAGCAATAATTGATAATTTATATCTAAATGTGCATTATAGCGATATCCTAAGACGATTCGCAAGCAGTTTGGAGACGATGAAGTTCATCACATACCAACACCCATTGTAGTGAGCAAAACCTCCATGATTGAATAAACTTTTATCCTTAAACAAGGCAAGGTGGCTCTATTAAGGTACTCAGTCAGAATCCTCGTAACATTAGCAGCATATGGCAATAGTTGGCTGCAAGATAAAAAATAAAATACACTTAGTGTATCTCGTTGCCCAACAATGCAAATGAATATAAAAGCACAAACACCGAAAACAACCATGAGCGAATATGTGACTAAAGTAGGAGAGCTAATCATTTTTCTTTCGAGAAAATTTTTTTTGGTGTAATCCATCAAGCGTTTTATAAGCCTAGGATTAGCAAAACTTCAAAACACATCATAGTAAGCCAGCTAGAAAGCCCTCAACATCAATACTCGGCATGAAAATTTGAAACAGAATATATTGGCAAAGGGGATATCCTTGTTTTACATTCAGCAGTATACAACAGAAAGAGTAAATAAGGGCATCCATATCAGTATTATAAATGGAAACTTATAGCAACTCATACGTAATGAAAAAACATTACAGAGAGAACTAGACTTTAATGAGGAAATAAATAGTTGAAAAGTGTTGATAAGATGTCAAGGTAAAGAAATATATAACTGATTCTATCCACTGTCGTAGAAAAGAAGTTGGAGAAACAAAAAGCAGTATCAACTTTAAGGGTGGAACTGCATAGTGGCATTCCAGCTTTTCAAAAATAGTCTTTACTTTCAATTAACCAAGCTTCAATTCATTGCCCTCTGAACCACTACAACAATGATGTAAGCCAAGCATACCTCACCTTTGCATTGATTTAACAATAGCGATCAAAAGATCCAAGGAACTCAAATGCAAAGTTGGAAGCTCAGCACAGAGAAGTTCTTGGTGTAGCTCAGAAGTGAAGCTTGATAGAGTTTCGTGCAATGAACCATCAACAGAAAGTACCCTCTCAACAAGCAAAATTAAGGATTGAACAG